CGGCTTGCCTCGCCCTGGACGGTGACCGCACGCGCCTGAGACCCAGCAGGCAGCCACCTTCGGCGAGGGGGGTGATGAGAGCTGGTGGAGGTGGCGTGAGGGTGGTTGCACTGCTGTGGGTCCCGTCCTGTCCCCGCCCCCGCCCCCTGGCAGCGCTGGGTGGTGGCTGCTTGTGCTGTGGCCTGTTGAGTTCTTGTCGATCCAATGACTTTTGCTTGAACTCCACGCACTGGGCCTTGTCCTTGGTCTCCGTGTTTGCAAATAACAGTCAGATAAACCGAGGAGCACACAGCAGAGCCCAGCCGGACGCAGGCCTGTGGCTGCCTCGCAGGGTTCCCTGTGAGAGGCTCATGCACCCTCCGCATGGGTGGCAGAAAGCGTAGCTGCTGTGCACGGAGGTGCGGGCCCGGGAAGGCCGCTGGCTTCAAATTGGGAAGAGCCGGTTCCTGCCCGTTCTCCCCAGCCCCTCCCCCGTCAGCGCTCCCGGGTCTGGGTCATTTGTGAAACCAGGCTGCAGATGTGTCTGAGCCAGGGAGCTGGAGAGGGAGCTGGTTTTAGAAGAACAGCTTTCACGGATCCATAAATAAAGCTGATGGCCCCAGTCTGGGCTCCTTCCAGGAACTTTATTCCCAAGCTGCTTATTTTAGGTTCCTGTGTTAAATTTGGTTTTGGCGAAAGAGAAATACAGGCGCTCCGCTGCGTTCTGTTCTCCGGGAGGGAAGGTTCCGGTGGGGGGGTCGGAGCCGCGGTCGGGGAGTGTGTGCGGGTTTGGGGTTGCTGTTCTCATGGCCGTGCCTGTCGGGAAGCCCCACACAGACTCCGGGCTGCGGTCTTTATTAAGAACCTGCACGTTTGTTTGTAAGAAGAGAAATTTGTGTTTAAAAATCTCAACTAGAGTCCGAGCTGGTTTGGCTCAGTGGATAGAGCATCGGCCCTCGGACTGAAGGGTCCCGGGTTCGATTCCGGTCAAGGGCACATACTTAGGTTACACGCTTGATCCCTGTCCCTGATCAGGGTGCAAGCAGGAAGCAAACAATTGATGTGTCTCTCTCACATCGATGTTTCTCTCTGTCTCTCCCCCTCCCTTCAGTCTCTCTCTAAAAAAAAAAAAAACACGGAAAAATATCCTCAGGTGAGGATTAAAAAACAACAACAAAAACCCCTCCATTAGATCCACATGAGTCCCCACTGACCTAAGCTGGGGCAGCCCGAGCTTCGGGAAATGATGATTCAGTGGATGGAAACACTTAAATGTAAATACACGAGGTCACCAGGAGGTGATGATGATAACACCGTACATGAGAGGATGATGAGATCACGTTACATGAGACGAGATGATGAATTCATCATGACACATGAGATGATCAGGAGATCATCGTGATACATATGTGGTGATCATGAGATCATGATACATGAGCTGGTGAGATCTGTTACATGAGATGAGAGGATGGTGCGGTCATGGTCCATGAGCTGGTTATGATCATGAGATGATACATGAGATGAGATGATGAGATCTGTTACATGAGATCAGGTGATGGTGCGGTCATGGTCCATGAGCTGGTTATGATCATGAGATGATACATGAGATGAGATGATGAGATCTGTTACATGAGATCAGATGATGGTGCGGTCATGGTCCGTGAGCTGGTGATGATGATGAGATCTGTTACATGAGATGAGATGATGAGATCTGTTACATGAGATCAGATGATGGTGCGGTCAGGGTCCGTGAGCTGGTGATGATGATGAGATCTGTTACATGAGACGAGATGTTGGTGCGGTCATGGTCCATGAGCTGGTGGTGATCATGAGATGATACATGAGCTGGTGAGATCATTACATGAGATGAGATGAGATGAGATGATGAGATCATGTTCCATGAGCTGGTGGAGATCATGAGGTCATCATGACACCTGAAGCAATGACCCGGATGATGCCGACGACGAGCCAGAAGCCTCCTTGACCACTGTTGGGGTCGCCGGGTCAGCACGTCACTGCAGAGTTATTAGGGAGAGACTTTTTTGTGATGTAACCTCAGTGGTTGGGAAGCCCAGGAGGGACAGAGGACGTCTGTCCGTCCATCCGTCCGTCCGTCCTCGGTGCTGGAAGGGGAAGCTTTGCTGATTCTCCTGCGCCAGGTTGGCCGAACGCCCGGGGAGAGAAGGCAGGTTCCTCCCCCCGGAGACCAGGGCTGGGAGGCGGTCTGCGTCGTGGGCAGAGGGTGGATGGGGCCCTGCCCCACCTCTTTCCAACTGTGTGACCTTGGGAATCTGGGAACCCTCTGAGCGCCACTTCATGCAACGATAAAAGGGACGGAAGGCACTAGCAGTACCTCAGGCTGACCCGGTTGAATGGAACCTGGGGCTGGAGGCCACCTGGCAGGCACTGAAAGCGAATGCCCCGCCCTGCCCTGGGGGGTCCACGTAGAGCAGCCTGGACATCTGGGCACCATCTTTTGTTTGTTCGTTTATTTTTTTATTACATATTTTTATTGATTTCAGAGAGGAAGGGAGAGGAAGAGATAGAAACATCAGTGATGAGAGAGAATCATGGATCGGCTGCCTCCTGCACACCCACCATTGGAGATCGAGCCTGCAACCCAGGCCTGTGCCCTGACCGGGAATCGAACCGTGACTTGGTTCATAGGTCGATGCTCAACCACTGAGCCACACCGGCCGGACTGAAATGCATCTTTTAAAATCCAAAGCTCAGGCCCCTTTGGTTTGGGCGAGGCTCGCTATTGCAGGGATGAGACGCGCGCGTGGGGCAGAGGAGGAGAAATGGCTCCGGGGTCAGAGCCCCTGGGCTTGAGCCCGGCCCGGCCATGCTCTGCCTGTTTCCACTCCAGCGATTGGATTCCTCTGAGCCGCGACTCCCCGTTAGCACGTGAGACATGATGCACGTGGCGGGAAGCTGCTGTGCGTGTGAGAAGCCTTTTTGTCAATACCAGCCTCTCTGCCGTGGCCGCTGCGGGTGTGGCTGGGTGCGGTGACCGCGGTCCTTTTCTGTCCCATGACCGGTACCTTCACCCTGTGAGTCTCACGGCAGGTCCCCGGCCCTCCGGTGGCTGAGACGCGTCCTGGTGAGCGAGGAGGCCTTACCGCAGTGGTTCTCAACCTTCCTAACGCCGCGACCCCTTCATACAGTTCCTCATGTTGTGGTGACTCCCAATTTCATGGTTACAAATTGAACATAATGAAAGCATAGTGATGAATCACAAGAACAATATGTGATTACATATGTGTTTTCCGATGGTCTTAGGCAACCCCTGTGAAAGGGTTGTTTCGACCCCCCCCCAAAGGGGTCGCGACCCACAGGTTGAGAACCGCTGACTTACCGGGTCAGACTTGTCCACCGGGAGGCACAGGACTGGAACCCAGACCCGCCGGGCCCCCCTTGCTCCTGCGCTGAGTGTAGTCGCAGAACTGCGTTTACTTGGAGCGGAACTTGCAGGTCCTCCTCAGGAATGTGAACTAAGTAAATAAGTGAAAAGCTAGTCCAGGAAAGGGGCTTGGGCGGTGAGATGGATTTCTCTTGTGTTTGTTAGGTCCACGTAGGGATCCCCCAGACATTGAAAGACCGCGGGAGGCCCAGGGCAAGGCGCCCCCGCGGGGGACAGGCGGGCACTGCGTTCGTGGGTCACGGGGATCTGGCTCTGGGGCAAGGGCTGCCCCCCACAAGCAAACGTCCCCCTCCTTCGCCCCAGTTGTCAGGCCCGGCCCAGGCAGCGGCAGCGGCTGACAGTGGCTTTGTTTCCCCGGGGAATTCGGCAGCGTTGACGTCCAAGTGGGTGCTGCCTGGCTGCCGGGCCCGCGTGCCTGTGAAGGGGCTGAGTTGTGTTTCTAATTGAAGCGATGAGCAGTGGACATCAGTTGTCCATGCGAACAGGAGTGGTTTCCGTAGAGACTGCTGGACTCGTTTAGAAGGCCTCACCCCAGCCCTGGCCGGGGGGCTCAGTGGGTTATCAGCGTTGTCCTGATATGCCAAGGTTGCGGGTTTGATCTGGTGAGAGCTCATGCAAGACGTAACCAGTGAATGCATGAATAAGTGGAACAACAAATCTTTCTCTCTTTCTTTCTCTCTCTCTCTCTCTCTCTCTCTCTCTCTCTCTCTCTCCCCCCCCCTCCCTCTCAAATTAATTAGAAAAAAATTTAAATAAATAAATACAAGACCTCACCCAGCCCAGCCAGTGTGGCTCAGCGGTCGCGCGTCGACCCAGGAACCAAGGTCAGGGCACATGTCCGGGTTGTGGGCTGGATCCCCAGTGTGGAGGCAACTGATCAATGACTCATCATTGATGTTTCTCTCTCTCTCCCTCTCCCTCCCTCTCTGAACTCAATAAAAAAAAATTTTTTTAAAGAAAAAGGTAGGGGATACGGTGCTGTGTGGCTCTGGGTCAGAGTGGTGGGTCTCATGCTGCACACCAGCTGCCGTGCGTGGCAGAGTTGACTGGACCGGGCCGCCTGCGAGATGCAGGGAGGGACGGCCCTGGGGCGTGGAGGGCGCGGGTGGCCTTGGTCTCGCCCGCTGAGCTGCCGACCGGGGGGCCTCCCGGAGGCGCTGCCCCCTGACCCTCACACGTGTGCTTTGGGACTGGTTGCCGGCACCACAGGGTGTTGCTGGGACAGCGAAGTTATTTCTGCTCTGGGTGCATCTTAACTTTTCTCAGATTTATTTTTCCAAAAAAATTTTTTTTGAAATATTTTTATTGATTTCCGAGAGGAAGGGAGAGGGAGAGAGAAACATCAATGATGAGAGAGAATCATGGATCGGCTGCCTCCTGCACACCCCCCACTGGGGATTGAGCCCGCAACCCGGGCCTGTGCCCTGACGGGGAATCGAACCCTGACCTCCTGGTCCATAGGTTGATGCTCAACCATAGCCACGCCTGCCGGCTCAGATGTTTGTTCTGCTGACAGCTCGGTTTTACTCGCAGCTGAGAAGCTGGGGAGGGGCTGGCGAGGTCCGCGTGTTAACAGCACGTCTCCCCTTGGCTGCAGCGCACGTGGAGAACGAGGAGCAGTACACGCAGGCGCTGGAGAAGTTTGGTGGCAACTGCGTGTGCAGAGACGACCCGGACCTGGGAAGCGCCTTCCTCAAGTTCTCAGTGTTTACCAAGGAGTTGACGGCCCTTTTCAAAAACCTGGTGAGTGTCCTGGCCGCACGCGCCTGCCCTCGGCTGCAGGTGAGCCCGGAGCTGAGGGGGGTGGGGGGGGCAGGTGAGCCCGGAGCTGGGGAGGCGGGGGGCTGGTGAGCCTGGAGCTGAAGGGGGGGGTGGGGGGCGAGCCCGGAGCTGAGGGGGATGGGGGGACAGGTGAGCCCGGAGCTGAGGGAGGGGGGGCAGGTGAGCCCGGAGCTGATGGAGGGGGGGGCAGGTGAGCCCAGAGCTGGGGAGGCAGGGGGCAGGTGAGCCCGGAGCTGAGGGGGGGCGGTGCAGGTGAGCCCGGAGCTGGGGGTGGGCACGGAGCGCCGAGGGCTCAGCCAGGCCTGTTGGAGGAACCGGGATGCGTTTCAGAGCTCACCGCGTCCCAGAGGAATGATCTGTTCTGTACACAGCAGGTCCCGTTGGGGTACACTTTAGAACTGCAACATGAAACAAGACCTTTTAAGTCAGTGCGGCATTTTAAATGGGCACAGCTGGGGGACTGAAGGCATTCATCTTTGTAAGGGCCTCTGCCTTCAGTTTTTAATTGTTTCTAAGCTGTGCAGAAGAGCCCGTTTCTGGTGATTACAGTCGGTGTTTAAACGTATACTGTTTAATAAACGTGTTTCAGACCCGTCTTACCCAGCAGCGTAGCCTGGCATCGAAGCGCAGAAATTACCACGAATATTTCGAGTCCTTTTCTTCTCCCTGAAAAAGGTCTCGCCTTCAGCCAGCGAAGTGGGGGCCGGGCGCCTTGCCGGCGGCGGGCGCTGGGAGTGGGGGATTGGCGCTCTTTCTTGCGCCTGGCAGCCCCGAGCCGTCCCCACCCTCGTCCTCGGTGGAACGGGACTCGGAAGGAGCGGGCAGCCGGTGTTGGTGGCCGCCGTGTTTTCTCCCACGAGGCGTGTCCGCTGGGAAGGTCCCAGCATCTCTTTCCTGTTTTTCTCCCCCACAAGGTCACAGGCGACCCGACCAGGTCACGCACTCAGTAATGCTTTCTCTGTCGGCCCCGAACTACGGAGTCCCTTTCATTTCTCTGCCAGAAGCCCTACCAAGTGGGAAAACAGGTCCTCGTTCTTGACGTGGTGGCGGCGGCAGGTCTGCAAGTGTGGCCTCCGCAGGCCGACCCGGGAACGATGTAAGAGCTGATGACAGGAGGCGAGGGCCGGACCGGTCCGGGTCTGGGTCCGGGTCTCGGTCCCCCCCACCCGGCACATGGAAGGTGGCCCAGTTGGAAATGGTGGCAGTAAAAGCCCTTGGTGGGCTGAAGTTTTCCTTGGCGTCATTGGGCATCTCTTGGGGCTTTTATCAAGTTCGCCGCCTGAGTGTTACGGCCCCAAATGGGCCGCTGGCGGCCACACTGAGCCCAGAGCCCGGCCCCTCCCAGCCCTCGCTGGACGCGGGCAGGTGGCGTGTTCAGGTCTCGCCACCCAGTCACCACTGGAGAAAGCAGGCGGCCCAGGAAGAGATGGGGGTCAATGCTGAGGTGGGGGTCCCGGGTGAAAGGTCAGCTCAGCTCCCAGCCCCTGCGCAGCCGCCGTGGCCGCCAGTTCCTCCCGCCTGCTCCTCCCGCCACCTCCTCCCGCCAGCTCCTCCCGCCTGCTCCTCCCGCCTGCTCCTCCCGCCTGCTCCTCCCGCCAGCTCCTCCCGCCTGCTCCTCCCGCCTGCTCCTCCAGCCACCTCCTCCCACCTGACTCGTAAATGCGAATGAATGGCCTTCAGAGTGAAAGAGACCAAAGGAGACAAAACAAGGAAACGGACACAAGGACCAGCAGGAGAGAAGCTAAAGAAACAATGCTTCATTCCTCAGATACAATCAGGACATTGTATCCGGAGGGAAGAGTGGAGTCCGCTAGTCAGACAATTAGTGTAAGGGTATGTTCAGTGGCCCTGGCTGGGGTGGCTCAGTGGATAGAGCCCCGGCCTGCGTACTGAAGGGTCCCGGGTTCGATTCCAGTCAGGGAGGGGCACATGCCCGGGTTGCGGGCTCTATCGCTGGTCGGGGACGTGCAGGAGGCAGGCGATCCATGATTCTCTCATCATCGATGTTTCTCTCTCTCCGTCTCCCTTGCTCTCTGACATCAATCAAAACAATATTTTACAAAAAAGAAAATGTACAATGAAAAATCCTATGAGAAGGATCGGAGTAGAGGAAATCTCTCAGGAAATAGGTCAAAAAGACCAAAAAGTAGGGAATGGATCATCCCTCAGGGGTCGGTATCCGACTGGCTGGCCTGACAGAGAGACTAGAAGGGCAGAGAGGAGGACGCCGAGCACACCAGCACAGAGAAGATTCCTCCCGCGGAGGACTCGCCAGTGCCCAGCCCAGCAAGGACTCCCCCCGCCCTCCCACCCCCCAAGGCATCTCCGTGGGAAATGAGAAGACCCAGACGCTCCCCAGGGGACACCGGCTCAAGAGCCGCAATGGCCTTGGGCTTCTCAGCGGAAACACTGGGAACTTGAAGGTCTGGAACGAGGCCCCTGAATCCCAGGGGGACAGTGTCATACCCGGAGTCCTACCCAGCCCGCGGAGCACGGGGTAGCGTGGGGGACCGTCACCCGTGGAAGGCCGAAGTGCTGGGCTCCCATGTGGCACTCCTCTGCGGCTCCTCCAGGGTGAGCTCGGGCGGAAGAGGGAAGCCGAGGAGGAGGAGGAGGAGGAGGAGGAGGAGGAAGAGGAGGGTCAGCGGACAGCGTCCGACCACGAGCAGCAGGGAAAGGGACCCCAGGAGGAGGCGTGGCAGGCCCCGCGGGGTGACGGGCCGGAGCAGGTCTGTCTCCCCCCCCCCCACCACCACCACCACTGTCTCCACTCCGCGTATCCCTGGCCTCTGCGTGGGAAGGAGATGCTGACGTGCTGCCTGGCTCGGTGTGAGGAGACAGCCCACGTGCTTTCGCACCGCGGAGCTCACTGAATCCCGAACAGCCCATGGGAGAGTCGGTGTTACCCCATTCCACAGGTTAGGTCACTGAGGCTGGGGGTGGTTTAAGGAGCTAACCGCCCTCTCAGGGCGCCTCTGAGCCCTGGCCCAAGGCTGTGTGCCTGCAGGTGGGGAGCTGGTACGCGGAAGGCAAGCAGCTGGGGAAGGCAAGCAGCCAGCTGCCGGTGAAACAAAGCATCCCTTCTCTTCTCAATTTTCTGCAAAACTGAAAGCAGGGCTGGGCCCGGACGGTGACTGCACGTGCCCACCGCCCCCGGCTCTGGCTCAGGGGCTCCAGAGGTCCCTGCGGCGAGGGATCCCGGGGGGGGGGGGGCCCCTTCAGCGAGCTGCCCCGCGGGCGCGTGCTGGTCCCGGCAGCTCCTTCAGGCCTGCCAGCAGCTGTTCAGGTGTAGGACCTTCATCTTACCGAGGCCTTAGCCACCAGGGACAGAGTGGGGAGTCAGATTTGGATCTTAACTCTCCCTACCCGTGCTCTGTCCACCTGCTCTGTCCACCGTGGTATTTAAACTCCTTGGGGCAGAAGACCACAGACTGAAGGGGAGGAAGTGCAGCAGCTGGAGGAGGTGGGCTGGGCCACTGCTGCTGGCTCTGGCCACCAGCCTCTGGCCTGGGCCTCCTTAAAGCCAGGACAGGAGAACCACGCCCACCGCCCAGGGCCGCCCGCAAGATAAGATCAAAGGAGGAAGAGGAAAGGTTTTTGTGAATTAAAACCCACAGGCGGCCTGTTAGGGTCCTTACCATACGCGGATTTATCAACGGCCCAGGCAGCCGTGGCTCTCAGCTCTCAGTCCGCGTGCATGTGCGTGTGCACTCCTTCAGTTCCAGCTCCTACTCGGTGGAGTTCGGGTTGTTGATCCTCTTTCCTGGCAAAGATCAGAGACAGACAGACACAGAGTCCGTGGTCGGAGGCCAGGCGGCCGCTGCTGAGAGCGAGCTGAGCGGGGCCCTCCTCTCTCGGTAGCTTGTATCCGCTCTGAGTCCTATGTTGGGTCACATCTCCGCGCTCTCCTCTCGCGAGCGCAGTGACGGCGAACCTATGACACGCGTGTCAGAGGTGACACGCGAACTCATTTTTTTGGTTGATTTTTCTTTGTTAAATGGCATTTAAATATATAAAACAAATATCAAGAATATACGTCTGTGTTTTACTATGGTGGCAAAGATCAAAAAATTTCTCTCTGTGACACGGCACCAGAGTTGAGTTAGGGTTTATCGAAATGCCGGCACGCCGAGCTCAGAAGGTTCGCCGTCACTGCGCTAGAGCCTCGCTTTTGCTTTTCCCTGGGCGCTTAGGACACCTTCCCCTGCGGCCCGCGGCTCAGTCCCGCCCCCGCCCGGGAAGGGGCCGGGGTGACCCGCTGCCCGCCCTGTGCGTGAGAGGATGTTCAGGAAGCAGCCTCGCGCCTGGAGGAAGGAGGAGGCCGCTGAGCCTGAAGTGAGACCGTTCCTGGGTGAGAGTCTCCCCTTTAGGAAGTCGTGGGTCTTCTCTGCGGCCGCGCAGGTGGAGGAGGCGGCCGCTCCGCGATGGACGCGGGACACAGCGTGCGACGCCGCGTCTCTGGCGCTTCCCTCCGACCTGATGATGAGCATCCTGGGAGGGGGCCGCTTCCGGGCTGGGAAGTGCCTTCTTTTTTTTTTTTTTTTTTTTTTTTTTTTTTTTTTTTGGTCAATCCTCACCCCAGGTTATTTTTCCCATTGATTTTTTTAAAATTTATTTTCTTAGGAAAGTGGAAGGGAGGGAGGGGGGAGAGACAGAGAGGAATACCCATGTGCGAGGGAGACAGAGATTGGTTGCCTCCCACGCATGCCCTGACCAGACCAGGGATCGAACCCGCAACCCTTGGCGCTCAGGCCAATGCTCTCACTGTTCGGGTGAGGAGTGTCTTTCTAATGGGCGCGTGGCTGCCCTGAAGGTCACGTCTCTGGACGGTCGGCTGCGGATCGGAGACTTGACGGCGAAATGTGTGCTCTCGGGCTGCAGAGCCTGCTGGGGGCCCGCGGGGTCCAGGGAGGGGGGCGGGGCTGAGGCCAGGGTGGACGGTCCGGGCGGGCCCTGGGCTGAGGAATGTCACGTCACTCATTTTGAAAGAGGAAGTGGGAAGTTCCGCCGACCACAGGTTCTGTCGCAGCGAGTGGCTGCCTGGGCCCTGTCTGCGCCGTGCGCTCAGATCAGAGGCGGACGAGGCGGACGGCGTCCCACCGGCGGGATGGGCGACAGGACGACGGGAGCACCTGTCCCGGCTCAGGCCCTCCCTGTTAACAAAGCTCGTCTCCTACTCAGCACGGAGGTCTTCCTCCCAGAGGCCCCTCCATGCCCCCTAAACTTCCCTTTAGCTTCTTTTACAGAAAATGTCATATGTTTTTATTTTTTTTCAACCTTTTTTTAAAGAAATACGTTTTTACTGATTTTAGAGCGAGAGGAAGGGGGAGAGAGAGATGGAAACATCCATGGGAGAGAAACAATCATCAGTGGGCTGCCTCCTGCACGCCCCCTGCTGGGGACCGAGCCCACAAGCCAGGCGTGTGCCCTGACGGGGAATTGAATCATTGAATCTCTCTCCCTCCCCCTTCCTCTCTGAAATCAATATAAATATCTTAAAAGGGAAAAGCAAAGAGTTTTGGAGGAAAGCCCTGGCAAGAGCTCTTCTATGCGAGATTCACAACCTGCCCCGGAAGACTGCGCCCAGCTTCCTGTCGGGATTCATTCTCATTCATATATTCATATTCTCTCTCTCTCTCTCTCTCTCTCTCTCTCTCTCTCTCTCTCTCTCTCTCTCTCTCTCTCTCGTTGCTGGTCCCTGAAAGTAGGGCTGCGGCACAGCAGTCCTGTCTCGGGCCGGCTTCCAGGCAGGTCTTGGGGCAAGATAGATCCTTCGGCAAAGCAGACTCGCTGTTGCCCGAGTCAGAGAGAAGGCAGCCCCCTGGTTCCTGGGAGTCGGGCCAACCAGCAACAGTGGTGACCAGTGACCACAGCTCAGGGAGCTGGCGAACAGTGCCTGGGAGCTGGGCAGACGAGAGGGGCAGATTTTAAGAGAGTATGAAAGCGCCCGGCGGCCATGGCTCGGTCTGAGCATCGACCTGGGAACCAGCAGGTCCCGGTTCGATTCCCGGTCAGGCCCAGGCCCGAGTTGTGGGCTCCATCCCCAGTGTGGGGCGTGCAGGAGGCAGCCGATCCATGATTCTCTCTCATCATGGATGTTTCTCTCCTTTCCCTTCTTCTCTGAAATCAATGGCAGTATTAGAAAAAGAAAAAGAGTATAAAAGTGACAAAGCTAGAGGCAAGGAATTTTAACACCAGTCTTCTTGGGAAGATGGCGTTGGCTGGCTCTGTCCCCGCCCGCCTCTCCCCATCTCCTTGTCCCTCTCTGGTTGCTTATCAGCTGTGGCATTAGCACAGCCAGGTGGTTCTTGGTCTCCGATAGCCCGGCTATCCCTGCCCCGCCCGCCCGCCCGCTGAGTCACTCACGTCTCCTTGTGGGATTACAGACCCCGCCTGCTGTTGACTCATCTTGTCAGACGGATGCCGGCTGCAGGCGAACCCGGACCGAGCAGGCAGGGCGAGGGGGGAGAGGCTGGGCTGTTCCTTTAAAGATTGCCTGTTTGCCGTTGGCATTCGATCCACAGTTCGTGGCCGAGATTAAGATGAGTAATTTGTATTCACATCGTCCGTGCTGTTTAAAAAGCCGCTGGATGTAATGTGCTTGTTAAAGGGAGTCGGCACGTACGAGAAAGCCCAGTGCTCGCTTGGCGCTAAGGAAAACATCCCTGGGTTTACTCAGGGATAACTTAATTCTTCCCAGAGGCCATAAAGCTTTCACCACTCGTGCCCGAGCCCCGGGTGTGCGGTCTCGCTGGCTGCGGTTCATCTCTCCGGGCCGGGAGGCGAGGCTCACTCACTCAGCCGCCGGCCAGCGGCTGCCCGGCCCGGTGCGCACAGCCCAAGAAGCGCTCACAGCCGGCTTCACGCGCGGGGCCCGCCGGCCCAGACGGGACATCTGGGCTCCCGGGCTCCCGTGCGCCAGCCCGGCCTGCAGCAGCCGCTCCGGGCCTTCCCTGACTCGGCACGCGTGTGTGCCCGAGTGTGGGGTGCAGGGGGCAGACGGGCTGATGTCCAATCTGTTGACGGGGCGTCTCTTTATTTGGTTATAATTTATTTTTAAAGCAGATTCCCTCTGCTCTTTTTAAAATGATATCTTTATTGATCTTAAGGAGAGAGGATGGAAGAGGGAGAGAGACAGAGAGAAACATTGACCAGTTGCCATCTGCACACCCCCCGACCGGGGGATTGAACTCCCAGCCCGGCATGTGCCCTGACCGGGCATTGATCGGTGACCTTTGGTGCGTGGGGTCGAAGCTCAACCACCACCGTAGCCACACTGGCCAGCGCTGCCGCAGTTTCTTCTAAAAAACCAGCTTTATCGAGGGGTAGTTTGCACGTCATAAAATTTACCCACTTCAGTGATGTCTCCCGCCTTTCCCCGGTGGGGCGGCCGTCATCCTAAATTAGTTTGGGGACCGCTCCTGCCCCCCAGGGAGGTCCCTCGTGTCCTCTAAGGTTAACCCTATTTCTTGCTCCACTGCCCCCCCCCCCCCAGCCCGAGGTAACTACTAATCTACTTTTTGTCTCTCTTGTAACAACTTAGCTAATTACTTCCTGATTAGGAAAGTAGCAGTTTCCTGTTTTAGATCCTTGAATGGCTCCACAAAGAAGAGTGGACTGGAATGGAGGCCAGCTTTCCCCTTGCTCAGGTGGCCCCCGTGTCCCCAGGCCTGTGCCTTTCCACGCTTCTCCGCACTGTTCCTCCTCTTCTTCTTCAAATATGTTTTTATTGATTTTTAGAGAGAGAGGGGAAAGGAGGGGTGGAGAGGCAGAAACATCGATGAGAGAGAAACATCATCGATCGGCCACCGGGGATCGAGCCCACAAGCCGGGCCTGTGCCCCGACTGGGAATCAAACCGGCGGCCTCTAAGTTCCTTAGTCGATGCTCAACCACTGAGCCACGCCAGCCAGGCCACACTGTCCTCTTCTTGCCTGGACACCCTCCACCCCATCTTGCAAGACAGAGCTCTCCCTCTCTCTTCAGTCTTCTCACATCACCCCGATCAGCAGAGATTTCCCTGGTGTCCAGACTACAAGTCATTTCTCTTCTCGGAAAGTCCGCGGCGTCTTATTTATGGCTCTGGGAGTGTGCAGGGCGCTGTGCTTGCTGCGCTGTGTGCTTTACCTCCCCCGGTGAGCCAAGGGTCCCGGAACCCGGGGGGCCGTCTAATCCATCTTTGTCTCCTAACCCCCCCTCCCCCCATGGGTCTGCAGCTTCATCTCCCGCCAGTGCCAGGGCCGCCTGCCTCCCAAGCACCATTCGTCACAGGGGTGATGGCCCTTTAATAGCGTGTCCCCGCGGGCGGTGGCCCTGTGCCGGGATCTGGGTGAAAGCCAGCCGCGGGCGTGTTCGGGCATCCGTAGCTTTTCCCTCTTCTCCGGGGCAGTGCTGCACTCTGGATACCAACGCTGAGCTGAGCTCCTCGCTCCCCGGGGCCTGCCATTCACCGTGGAAACCGCCTGTGCCTGTCAGTGTGCTTGTCGGGGTTCCCGGTGATGGCAAATGCTGATGTCGGAGCAGGACACTCGGGACCCAGCACCGGCGTTTCTGGGAGAGTCGTGACCGGGTGGGCCCCTTACCTGGCAGGATTGGTGGGCAGCCCAGGCGTCCGTACGCCCCTTGCCAGTAGCTTTCCAATAGCTTTCTCTCTCCTTTTGGCTTTTAATGCACTGAACAGTGTATAGAAATCAGATCCCATGTTGCCCTAAGAACCGTGCCTGTGTTTTATATTCCCACCCTGCTCCAGGTGATTGTACGAAAAGTAAGGTTTCTCCGCTCGATTGTCAGAATGAACGTGTGAGGTTCCACAGTTCTCAGTCTTGTCTCCCCTTCACAGCCTGAAACCGGGTGCGGGAACCCCGGTGACACATGTGCTCCCTGCCCCGGTCCCGGCCACGGGGTGCCCACAGGCAGCGAGTTGACTGACAGGGTGGTGAGCCCGGGGGCGGGAGAAAGTGGACCCCGGCTTACGTTCCCCTCCGGGCGGGGCCCCTGCAGGCTCTGAACCCCGAGTCTGTGCCGGAAGGCCCTCCCAACGAGGCTGTGTCCCTCCCTTCACCCGAATCTGCCGGCGGGGGGGGGGGGGGAGGGCTCTTCCCGCCTCCCAGGAGGCAGAGCCCTCGTTCTGTTTTTCCTGTCGGGCCCCCGTTGGGGGCTGTGCTGGGAGGTGGGGGCTCGGGGACGAGAACTGAGCCCGGGACAGCCAGGCCTCGGCGGGGTCGGACCGGTTGGGAAGGTTTTTCTTCCTGGCAGTGCTTATCTTTCACCAACGCGATCGCTTAATAGCAGAAAGTTACTGCTGCGGAGACGGGTGGAGACCGCCTTGCGGCACCCGTCACCTGGGAGAGCGGACGAGGTCCTCGCGGCAGGGGCTGCGGTGAGGGTGCCGTCGCCCGGCCTCGCCCTCGCTGTGCCGCTGGGGACTGAGAGCACCCTCTCTGGTCTTGTCTTTCAGATTCAGAACATGAACAACATCATCTCCTTCCCTCTGGACAGCTTGCTGAAGGGGGACCTGAAAGGCGTGAAGGGGGTACGGCGACGGCTCTGGGGGGCGTTTGCAGGGCCACAGCCGTGGGCCTGAGGGTGGCTTCCGGGGCCCCCGCTGCTGAGGACTCGGTCGCTTTTGCACGAACATGTGTGTGAGTCCTGGGAGGCCACGTGCTCCCAGGATCTGCACGGGGCACATCGGGAAGCCCAGCGGCTGGTCTCGGGACCCCGCACTCGGGACCCCGCACACTGTGCCAGGAGAGCCGTGGGCAGGGAGGAGGGGCCCCCCAGCCGGTCAGGCACCAGGAGCTGCCCATTGTCCTCTTGGGGCTGGAGCTCGGGGCCGAGTGGCCGGCAGGACGGGCAGGAAGGTGCCGAGGCAGAGGGAGGACGCAGAGAGAGGAGGCTTTCGTGTCGCAGAGTCGGATGGGGCTGGGGGCGGGCAGGGCCCTGCAGGCTGGGAGCTGAGTCCTGTCGGAGGTCAGTGAAGAGCCAGGATGTAAAAAACAAGCCCCACCCGTGGCAAGCGTTCCTCTCCCAAAAGGACCTGCTGGACAGAACGTGACGCGGGGGTGGGGGGGGGGGGCGCTGCCTGGTGGAGTCTCCGGAGCTGGGCACCTCCGAGCCAGACCTGCTGAGTGCGGCCCCAGCTCCAGGCAGAAGTGTTGGGGGCCGGGGGTGGGGGGGGTAGTTCTCTACCGTGGGCTCCGAGCAGCCCTGTTTAATTTCTGCCTCTCCGTTTACAGGATCTGAAAAAGCCTTTTGATAAAGCCTGGAAGGACTATGAAACCAAAATGTGAGTGTTTCCGTTTAAAAAAACACACCACAATGTGGGTAATTTGCGATTTCGACTTTAAACCCAGCTTTTCTAGCTTAAAGGCATTGTCTGACTAACCCTGACCCAGGACAGCGTTCACCTAAAACTGTGACGCTCGGTGCCTTCACGCCTGCTGTCCAAATGCCGTGATGTTGGCCTCTTTACGCAAGTTTCTTCCTGGTCCCTTTTGTTTCATGTCAAAAGGGTTACAGAGCATCATTTCCAGGGAGGCTCATCGAAGGAAGTCGAGGCCACCTTCCCCGAGGTGTCTCCCCCCGCCCCCTCCCCCCTCCCCCCCGTGTTATCACTGTTGGTCACGGCAGCACATTTTTCGTACCCCGTCTTCCTGGTGATTTGTGGATCCCCTTAGCGCAGGTCATGTTTCTCAGCCTCACCAGGCCCCTTGGTTTCAGAAAAGGAGAGAAGAGAGGTTGTGGGGACCCCCTCCCCCGTCAGCCTCACCTGGCTGCCTTCTCTCCCTCCTCTGAGAGAGAGAAGTGCTTAGGGAGGATTTGTGGAGTAAATTCTCAACCAAAAGGCCAAGGTTGGCGTGTCTCTGGCCACAGGCATTTCCTTTGCAGTAGGTTAAGGGGCGGCCCCGTGAGCGTGCGCTGTCCCTGCCCGGCCGTCCGGCCTGGGCCGCGGGCCGAGAGCGTCCGACTCCTCCCTGCTCTCCTGCCCGCAGCACCAAAATCGAGAAGGAGAAGAAGGAGCACGCCAAGCTGCACGGGATGATCCGCACGGAGATCAGCGGCGCCGAGATCGCCGAGGAGATGGAGAAGGAGCGGCGGTTCTTCCAGCTGCAGATGTGCGAGGTGAGGGCGGCCCGCGGGCGGCCGGAGCCTGACCCCCACCTGCGGCCTCAGAGAACCCCGCTGCCCTGTGGGACCCCCTTCGGTTCAGTCTCTCCCCCGCCTCGTTCTTCCTGTAGCCAGAGCAGCCATTTCTCCTCCTCGCGGGTGAGATACGGGCTGATGACTCGGAGTCCTTGGCACTAAGTGAGACGCTGAGTCAGCTGTGAGTCAGGGCGTTCCTGTGGCAGCAAAGGGAAAGGGACCCTGAGTGCGGCCTCGGGGACTGTGCCGCCTCTGCCAGGAGCTCCCGCCACGCGGAGGAGAACGGACGTGCGGTCTGTCCCCGGCTCATGCTGAGCACGCGGCCGCCTCTACCTCTGACACCCCTTTGTGTTGTGTTGTTTCCACAGTACCTGCTGAAGGTCAATGAAATCAAGATCAAGAAGGGAGTGGATTTACTTCAGAATCTGATCAAGTATTTTCATGCCCAGTGCAAGTAAGTTCTTGGTCCTTGTGGTGGTGTTAAGTCAGACATGTCTCTCTCTATGGCAAATTCCGGTCGATCGATAGTGGTTTTAGCCTTTCTCATCTCGCGGCACACAGGAGGTGGAAATTCTGCCGCACGCCCAGAAACACAGCATATATTTTGCCCATCTGACCAAAAAAACCCCAAAACAAGGTGTAATTTTGGTTCATTCACGCCAGACGGCGGTGGTTGTCACTGTTGATGTGACAGTGTCAGAGAATCGAGGTCCGTGTCCCTTACTACGCAGTCGGGTGTTGCATGTTGTAAAATTCTTGCTGCTCACACCAGTGCGCCTGCCACAGCTCACCGGTTGGAAATCGCTGATTTGTAGTCTTGTGCTGAAGGAAATCAGCACTCTTTGGATCGTCTGTAGTGGAGGGATGGGCACATGCTACCACATGCATGAACCCGAAAACATGTTAAGGGAGAGAAGCCAGACCAGAGGCCCTGTGGGGGGAGGGGAGTTAGGGGGAGGGGAACGCGGGGATGACTGCTCACGGAACAGGGTTTTTTGGGGGATCCAAGTGTTCTGGAATCAGTGCTGATGATTGCACAGCTTTGTGGAAATGCTAAACACCACTGGCTTGTCCACTGAGAAGGGTGCATTTGACGGTCTGAGAGTGAGATCTCAATAAGAACACAAACATAAGAATCGGTTTTATCAATAGGCTTGTTTTGCCCTTTCTGTAGAGGGCCATGGAGCCTGACCCCACGCGTGACCTCCGGTGGTGCTGGTTAGAGGAGGAAGGCGGTGGACTGATTCAGCGTGTCAGGTTAAGACATGCTTCCAGGTGTGAGGTATCCTGCAGCGCAAAGACAGAGCACAGCAGGCTGCCTGCAGGGGAGGCGGGGAAACGCCCGCATTCAGGGCGGCCCCGCACTCACCTCGGCCGCACGTGTCAGGCCGGCACAGCCCGCCCGCACCGCCAGCCTGGCTGTCTTCCCGGCTCCTGGCCCTGCCGGTTTGCCCTGACCCCCGCCGCTAATGCACACACTTTCCTGGAGTGTGTGTCCAGCACGGTCCGTGATGCCGGCGATAAAGTGACACCCACCTCAGGCCTGGTTCCCGCTCAGGGCCATCTGGCTCCCGCAAACAGACGTGTCATTGGACATGTATGTAGCATGTGTTCTAACGTGTAGGAATCTAAGAAAGAAACAGAAGGATCTCCTTGAGATGGACATGGAGGGCAGGGGCAGGGGTGTTTCTCTCTTCTCTCTTGTTCCTTGCTGTGTTTGCCAGCAGCCGGAACGCAGCGCCAGCACATAGTAGGCCAGGCACATAGTAGGCATTCACGTACTTGCTAAGTGAGCTGCAGGCCTCTCTGGGGAGGCGTGTGTTCTGAGCTCCACGGATGAGGAGCAGGGGAAGAACATGCCGGGCCAAGTGGAGGTCTTGACGCAGGAGAACGGCCAGCGTGGCTCACCCCTGAGTGAGCTGCCTGAAGGGAACTGGGCACAGAGCATTAGGGACCCGGACGTCCTTCCCAGTCCTGCAGAAGGGCTTGCGTTTCATCCCAGGTGCGTGGGGGGAGCTCTTGGAAAGTCTGAAGCGGAAAACCCACTCAGCAAGTGCCGACTGGGCGCCGCTGGCGCTGACGGGGGAGGTGTGGACCACTGGAGACGCCCGAGGCGCATGGCCACGCCTGGATGCTTGCCTTGTCCTGGCGGCTGCCCCCACGATGCACCTCTGCCCACACTGTCCCATCCCCTTTCCCCAGAATTCCGTTCTGTCTCCTCTGCGCCTTCCCCAGCCTCCGTCCCTCCCCACGGCCTCGCTCAGATGTCACTGCTACTTGGAAGTCCTCCTGCTCGGGTCCTGATGCAATGACTTCTCTTCCTGTATCTCCATGGCAACATCTTTCCTGTTGTGCGAGGCCTCCCCCTGACCTGTACACTCTTAAAAAAAATGTTTTTATTGATTTTGGAGAGAGAACAAGGGAAAGGGGGAGAGAGAAAGAAATACTGATGTGAGAAACATTGATCAGCTGCCTCCCGCACCCCCAACCGGGGATCGAGCCTGCAACCTGGGCGTGTGCCCTGACCGGGAATCGAACTGGTGACCTTTCGGTGCACGGGACGATGCTCCAACCACCTGAGCCACACTGGCCCGGGCTGACTGTCCGCTCCTGAGGAAATTGGCCGTGGCGTTGACTTTCTCCGTCTGTAGCACGTGACACGTTTACCTGGCGGATGGTTGCCACGGTGACCCCTGTGGAACGGAGCTGAGCTCTGCTTGGAATTCCCGGTGCTTGTCTCAGGCGGCCAAGGCCACTCCGCGAGGGGGAGGGGCGAGCACCGAGCTTGGGGAGACGCCTCTGAGGTGGCGCTGATCTGCCCACTGGCGTGTAGAGCCCTCCAGACGGGCTGTTTCACAGACGCAGAGCCCCGACTTGGTGATTGACACGCAGATGGCTTTCTCAGTCCGTATCCTCGTGACCTCACATGGGGCGGTTTAGGAAGTGGGTCGCTTCCGTGCTGATACTTTATTTTTAAGAAGCAGCTATTTTTGGATTTCCTTTTTTTTTTTTCCTTTATTTTGCCCAAACTGATGAGTTGGGTAGCAACTGGCCACTTGTGGAAAATGAACTAGTTGGCCTTTTATGGGCATGAGCTCAGCAACCTTTAAAAATGATGCATCGTCTATCGCTTCCTTTCTGGATTACTGTGTGTGTGTGTGTGTGTGTGTGTGTGTGTGTGCACGTGCATGTGTAACGCTCTGTGCTCTTCAAATTATCCCAAGGCCTTTGACTGTTTTAATGCACAATTTGGGAGACAACATGTGGAGCCCGATGACTCGGCCGATGGACCGAGGAGGCTGTGGCCACGCCGAGTTCATCCATCCGGGGTTCCTGCGAGTCCCCCCACTAACGTTTCCTCCGGCCTGCACTTGTCCCGGGAGCAGGCTGTGCGTGGCGAGCGCAGTGCCGGGGCGGCGGTAGGGCTGCCTTTCTCGGGCTGCGGGCCCTGCAGGTGTGAGGCGGCGCCTGTAACCGGGTTCCGGGAGCCACGGCGGCTCCCCCGTGGGACTCCTTGGCTGGGCATGTTTTGCTTTTTGCTGAGACGTTTGAGAAGAGCCGTCATCGTGTTCCTTGTCTTTTATTTCATTTAAGGAGAGAACTGGCCTCTCTCTCCGCCCAGTTCCTGGAGCCTGCTGTCCAGTGGGGTCTAGAAACTGGGCATCTTTAAAACAGCAGCAGTGACACAGACAAGAGGGGTCCCCCCGTTCCAGAAGGTGGGAAGAGTGTTGAGTGACATGTTCTCTGGCCAATCCCTGCAGAGACCGCTGTGCCTGCGGCTGGTGAACCCGGGCACAGAGATGGAGAGGCCCGCTGGCCCAGGGCCCGGATTCAGGCCCCGTGCCCGGAGATGCTTGGTGGCGGGGGCACGGGCCAGCACCCAGCCCCTGGGCCTGGGGTCTGGTGTCCTGTGCTATGGCGAGGGCCACCCCGTTTTCTTCATTCCTCTCGAGGGTTACACGCACACACTGAGGGGGAGCGAGCGGCAGGGCATCGGCCACTGCTGCGGCAGAAGCCTGTCTCGCTCCCGCTGGTTTCCGGACTCTTCCGCCCCCGAACCAAAGCCTTCGCCGCCTTTATTAGCGAGTCCTGTTTCCCATTATAAACTGAACACGTGGAGCTCGTGTTCATGGGTCAAGAAAAGTCACAAATATTTTGCCTGATAGCAGCTCCCTTCCGTCCCCTCCTCATCGTTTTGAGCGTCTTTTTATTCTGGAAACACGTCCAGGTTTCCCCCGGGAATGACATAGTGATTTTAGCCTCTTTCCTTAAAGAAGTGTTCTCTCCGGCGGACAGAATTGTTTTGCATGGGACACGAGCTCTATTTCTTCCTTTTCCCCCCAGTTTTTTCCAGGATGGACTGAAGGCCGTGGAAAACCTCAAGCCCTCCATCGAAACGCTTTCAACAGATCTCCACACAGTAGGTGCCTCCCCTGCCACGTCTGCTTTGACACAGTTTTTATGCGGCAAACGCTCTCTTGCCAATGTTGCTTCTGTCTGACCTTGCGTTTGCTGCTGGGCTGGGCAGAAACTCACAGCCGGCAGTGCCCCTCGGAGCACGGAGTCCCACGCTCGGCCGCTGGGGGAGGTCTCGGGAGTGAGGGGGCAGGTGGCCCGGTGAGGTGGGGGTGCCCTGTGCACGCCAGCTTCTCGCTGCACCTCTGTCATGCCTCTCCCCCCCCCCCCACCTCTGTTTCGTTTCTAAAGATCAAACAGGCCCAGGATGAGGAGCGAAGGCAGCTGGTGCAGCTCCGGGATATTCTGAAATCGGCGTTGCAGGTGGAGCAGAAGGAGGTGAGGGCTTTAATTTTGAAGGACGGCTGTTTGATACTGTGCCTTCCAGGTGCTCACAGACCCTGCTGGGCTGTCCGAGCAGCAGCTAGTCCAGGGGTGGGCAAACTTTCTGACTCGAGGGCCACAATGGTTCTTAAACTGGACCGGAGGCCGGAACAAAAGCATGGATGGAGTGTTTGTGTGAACTAATATAAATTCAGAGTAAACATCATTACATAAAAGGGTACGGTCTTTTTTTTTTTAGTTTTATTCATTTCAAACGGCCGTAGTTTGCCCACGGCTGAGTGTGGGATCCGCCCCGTTGGCGTGTGTACCTCCCGGGGGCCCGGCCCCGGGGGCAGCGTGCAGAGCTCCTGCTCAGGCGGTGTGAGATGCGTGCTCTTAGCGTCTCCCCCAGACACACGCTCCTCAGTGTGTCCTGACTTTCCTGCACTCCGGTCCCCCTGCTCACAGTGTAGTGTGAGACTTACCGTAACCACCCCCTCCCTTGTGAGGAAGGAATGTGTCTGAGTGTGTCACCCGTAGACTTTAGATAACTAACTTGTTAAACGCCCTAGTGCAGCGGTCGCCAGCCTGTCGGACCTCACGGACCCCCAGCGGCCCGCGGACCACCGCTTGGCGACCGCTGCCTCCGTAGACATTGAGTTCACTGCTGGTGGTTGGAAGTTCCTGTGCTATAACTGAATATTGTTGTTTTTCTCCCAAATGCGTTTACCTTTTGTGACCGAAGTCTAGGAGAGTAAGTAGTTCAGTATTTTAATAAATTGGAGAATTTTGCATGCTTTCTTCGTGAACTTAAAAAAAACAAAACAAAACCGGTTTCTTCCATGTATAGATTAATGAGTCGAGCATCTTTCATTTAATCCAGCGGTTCTCAACCTGTGGGTCGCGACCCCTTTGGTGGCCGAACGGCCCTTTCACAGGGGTTGCCTGAGACCATCCTGCGTATCAGATATTTACATGATGATTCATCACAGTAGCAACATGACAGTGATGAAGTAGCAACGAAAATAATGTTATGGTTGGGTCACAACATGAGGAACTGTATTTGAAGGGCCAGAAGGTTGAGAACCACTGGTTTAATCCCTTCTCTCCCAATAGCGGGGTTACGAAAGGCTGAAGAACTTAAATGCACACGTCAGTGAAGTGGGAATCTCCCGCGTGTACAGTGTGCCCCTTCGCTGTCGTTCCTTGTGGAAATGAAACAGCTCCCTCCACCCATGCCCACTCCCTCAGGAGGCAGCGGTAGATGATTCTCACCATTGACGTTTCTGTCTCCCTCTCCCTTCCTCTCTGAAAGCAGTATTTCATTTATTCATTCATTCATCCATTCATTCATTCATTCATTCATGTTTTAAAGCTCACTTCCACCAGGCCAGCATGGCTCAGGGGTTGAGGGTCAACCTATCAACCAGACGGTCACAGTTTGATTCCTGATCAGGGCACATGCCCAGGTTGCGGGCTCGATGCCCAGTGTGGGCCGTGCAGGAGGCAGCCGATCCATGATTCTCTCTCATCATGGATGTTTCTCTCTCTCTCTCCCTTCCTCTCTGAGATCGATAAGAAATATATAAACAAATAGAAATTTGAAAAGCTCGCTTCCTCCACCCCTTATGCATTTCCCCGTTGGCCCTTCACGGGTTGAGCCGGTGCCTCCTCAGTTCAGATCGCGCTGGGTGTCGTGTGTGTTAGTTCTTCCTTCGTCTGGGCCGTGGCACCAGGGACAGGCGTGGGCTTGGTGTGGAGAGACCAGCCCCGTGAGGACACGCGGTGTCCGGGAAGGAGCATCAGCGGGGAGGCGGGTCCCCGGCCCCGACAGGCCCTGCGCCTCGAGCAGACCACCTGTGCCATCGTGAAGTGAGCTGGTGGGGGTTCCCAGCAGCCGGTGGAGGCAGCCCTCCGCCCTCCTGGTTGACCTGTGAACTCAGGTCCACGTTTCGCTCCCCCTTTGCCCTCACCCCTGCCAGAAGCTCGGCCCCCGCCCCACAGCCCTTCCGCCCCCGGCCGGGGCTCTGCCTGGTCTGCTGGGCACAGCCCTTGCCCTTCAGAAGCCGGTTCCCAGCTGTCCAGGCGGCCGGCCCACCTGAGCAGGGCAGGGCGGTTCAGGGCCCCGGCCCCGGAGGAGGGGTCAGGAAGTGAAGGTCGCTCAGAGCCTGGCCTGTTCCAGGCGTCCACGTGCGTGACCTTGCTGTGACCTTCCGCCCGGGGTGGTGCTTGCCTGTTTCCAAGGAGGAAACTGAGCAGGGGCCTCAGGGCCTGCCGACAGGAAGGGGCGGAACATGGCTGTTGGGTGTGTTCGGTGTTGGTTTTGCTTGAAGGGGCTGCGTCCACCTCTCAGGACCTTCTGGCCGTGATCAGGGGCGGAAGGTGGTCGCTGAGTCAAACCGGTAGCTTCCCAGTGGCTCACTGGCCGGTCGGGGCGGCTGGTCTTTGCCGTTCCCTCTCCAGCCGGGTGGGTGGCATTCACGGGCTCCTGGGTAGGAATTGTTCTTGTCTTTGTGTGTGTGTCTGTCTGTGTGTGTCTGTGTGTGTTTGTGTGTATGTGTCTGTGTGTGTGTGTCTGTTCGCATGTGTGTGTGCGCGTGTGTCTGTGTGTGTGCGTATGTGTGTGTGGTGAGAAGGGAAATGTCTCTAATTAAAAAGAAAAGCTTTAAGGGCAGAAGCTGCCCTTTCAATGAGGATTAAACGGACTTCCGGCCACTTCAGGACTCGCAGCTGCGCCAGAGCACAGCCTACAGCCTCCACCAGCCGCAGGGCAACAAGGAGCACGGCACCGAGCGCAGCGGCAGCCTCTACAAGAAGAGCGACGGGTAAGGGGGGGGCACGGGGGGCGGGGGACACAGGTGGGGGAGCGCGGGGGGAGGGGGCGCGGGGCGGTGGGTTACCTGTGCGTCTGCTAGCTCCCGTGCCCAGAAGTCCTAAACTTTTATTTTCCCCCGTTTCTCTGGAAGGATCCGGAAAGTGTGGCAGAAAAGGAAGTGCTCCGTGAAAAACGGGTTTCTGACCATATCGCATGGAACGGTGAGTGTTCGGGGACCCGGTCTCCGCTGGGGAGCCGCTGGGGAGCCGCTGGGGCAGCCGGGGCGAGCTCGGTGCCGTGAGCGGGGCGGCTGCATGCGACCGCGGTGTCTCCACGCCGGGAGCCTGTCTGCGGAGAAGCATGTTGGGTTCCCGCCCGGGTGGTCCACCTGCACCCATTTATGCTTTGGCAGCCGGGGCGGGGAAAGCCTCGAACCCACAGCCAGGAGGAGGGTGGCAGGTGCGCTCACTCCCAGCTGAGACCCGGAAACACGCAAACCCGCCCCACCCCGCCCGCCGCCTGCCTCTGGGGCGGGAGGGAGCATCGCCCAGGACTTTGGGAATCTGATTCCAGAGGCGAGTGACGCCAGTCACTTTATTCTAGAAACCTGAGACTCCGCGCCCAGCCTAAGGCCTCGGTCCTGCACGCAGTCGCCATGCGGGGCCTGAGCTCTGCGTGTCAGCCGGTCACACACCCCGGGGGGTACAGTGATAACCAGGCTCGCGGAGATGGGCTGGCGGCCACGGGCACAGACAGCCTCCCACCCGGGGGTGGGCTCCTGCTCGGGCTGCAGGGGAACAGGGCGGGCGAGCCGCTGTTGGTGTGGAAAATGACACTGTCAGTGAGAACACGAGAATGAACCGTGCTGTGTACTCACCACTGTCGGCCGCTTTGCCCGCCCCGTGTGCCACGTGTGTATTGGTTCCTGGACGAGCCAGGCAGTTCTCCTGGTGAAGGTCCGACTGGATGGGGTGCTCTTCCTTGGCACTGAGGTTGGCACGACCAGGCAGAGCTTGGGGTCTTCGTCCGCTGGTGCCTGGGACCCAGGGACTCTGAGAGGCACCTCCAGACCACAGAGTAGCCAGTGGCTCCCTCCGCGAGGTGCGGCCCAGCGGATCCTTCTGCTTCCCCAGACGCCCTTTAGGGAACCATATTGTTCACACCACCGGGCTCCGTCCTGCGTCAGAGGAGAGGGGTCTGCCAGTACCTGAGGGTCTCAGGGTCGGCCCCCGTGTAGACACGCGTGTCCATGCATCCCAAACCCAAGCTTTCCCAGGTCTTGACGTGACGGGTGGCCACGGGGAGGGATGGCGAGTGATTAAAAGTCCAAGATGTTTTTTGTGTGTGTGTGTGTTTTAAATATATTTTACTGATTTTTTTGCAGAGAGGAAGGGAGAGAGAGATAGAGAGTTAGAAACATCAATGAGAGAGAAACATCGATCAGCTGCTTCCTGCACACCTCCTACTGGGGATGTGCCCGCAACCAAGGTCCATGCCCTTGACCGGAGTCGAACCTGGGACCCTTCAGTCCTCAGGCCGACGCTCCATCCACTGAGCCACACCGGTCAGGGCCCAAGACGTTTTCTTGGCTCCTTCTGTGAGCAGCGTGGTAGGTGGGGAGAGAGAAGCCCATTCGCGCTGGGAGATTTCTCCACGGTTTCTGCGCGGCGTCTGGCCATGCAGAGTGCGTTTCTGAAATTACTGTCTCGCCCTCTGCCGTTTGCTTGTTTGGATGAAATAGGCTGTTTTCTGACATTGTAATAGTCGTTCTGACACACATCTGACAAAAATACCATTTCTGTGATCGCTCATTCGCCGTGCCTGTCTGTCGGGGGAGTTGACACCGTATGTGAACGAGGTTGGTCTTGTTGAGGCTTCCGTGACAGATGGCTGGCATCGCGGGTTGGGCATCTGTCGTCTGTCATCACTTCAGGAAGCAGGGAAATTACTTCCCCGTCATGTCTGTGAGGTTGCTGTTCCTGGAAGCGAGTGTTTACCCTCAGAAGAACCCTAGTGGGAGACCAGGCATTGACCTGGGCGCCCCCCGGCAGCCGCCCGCCGTCCGTGAGCAGGAGGAATCAGAACGGGGCGTCTCAGGCTTTCGCCGTGGACCATCTTGGTCTCGGGAAGTCCACTGCCATGGACCACGACGCCAGCATCGCCGGCCCCCGAGCGGCTGGGCGTCCCTGACCCTGACGGAGGGCTGCCGCCCTTGAGGGGCTCTGGAGGTTCCGACCGGACGTCCGCCTTCTGAGAGCGAGGGAGAGCCCTGCTCTCGCTCTGCGCTCATGAGTGATGACACCGTGCAGGTTTCCGTTCCCCCCCACCCAGCTCCGGGTTTGCTTTGCTTTAATTGTACTTTTCCGACAGGCGAACCGGCCCCCCGCCAAGCTCAACCTCCTCACCTGCCAAGTGAAGACCAACCCCGAGGAGAAGAAGTGCTTCGACCTCATTTCGCGTAAGTTTGTTTCCCAGATGCCGCGCCCCAGAGCAGCCCTTCGAGCCGGCTTCCAGGGCCTCGGCCCCTTTCCCTGCGCCCGTGGGAGAGCTGGTTTGGAAGAGAGAGGCCTGCATTTCGGGTGCTGGGCGTACTGTTCCCCGGGGTGCCCGGCCTGCCGTGGAGGAGCCCCCCCCCCCCCCTCCACAGTGCCTCGAGGCTCTGCACACCTCGATGCCTCGTCCCGGCTCCCAGCCTCCTCTTCCTGTTTGCAGACGAGGAGATTATCCTAGGTCAGCCCATAGCCTGAAGCCCCTCCCTTCCTTATAAAAAAGGAAGCATCTGTGATGTTACACATGCTGCAGCCCTAGCTGCTATGGCTCAGTGGATAGAGCGTCTGCCTCTGGGCTGAAGGGTCCCAGGTTCGATTCCTGGTCAGGGCGCATGCTTGGGTTTTGGGCTCCGTCCCCAGTGTGGGGCGTGCAGGGGGCAGCCAATCAATGAATCTCATCGATATTTCTATCTCGCCCTCTCCCTTCCTCTCTGAAATCAATAAAAGTAAACAAATAAATATATATATGAAACTTAAGCACCATTGTAAAAAAAAAAAAAAAAAAGTGCTGCACACAATGGGATCGGGCCTTGCGAGCTCTCGTTCTTGAAACGGGTTAGTGTTCCGACCGCAGGACCTGTCTCCCTGTTTCGTGAGCCTTCCTTCGGGGGGCGCGCGCAGGGGAATCGCCTCGACTCTGACCGAAGCCTGCCCGTCGCTTCTGCCGGTGGCCGCGCTCTCAGCCGCAGCATTTGTCCCCCTTTCCCCGGGGTGGCCACCGCTGCTGCTGTCCTCCCCCTGCCTCTGTGCATCCCCTCTGCCAGGACGCCCCCAGCGTGTTCTCTGCCGCATCTTGCTTTCAACATTAAAGTTCACGTCCTGCCCGGCCAGCATGGCTCAGTGGTTGAGCATGGAGCTATGAAACAGGGGGCACAGTTCAATTCCTGGTCAGGGCACAGGCCCAGGTTGCGGGCTTGATCCCCAGTGTGGGGTGTGCAGGAGGCAGCCGACCCATGATTCTCTCTCATCGGTGTTTCTCTCTCTCTCCCTCCCTTTATAAAAATATATTGAAAACAATAACACTGAAGCTTTTGAGACTGTTGATGGCTTCCATGGCATCCCATGGTCTGCAAACTGCGGCTTGCGAGCCACATGCGGCTCTTTGGCCCCTTGAGTGTGGCTCTTCCTAAGCCTTAGGAGTACCCTAATTAAGTTAATAACAATGTACCTACCTATATAGTTTAAGTTTAAAAAATTTGGCTCTCAAAAGACATTTCAATCGTTGTCCTGCTGATATTTGCTCTGTTGACTAATGAGTCTGCCGACCACTGGACAGCCTCATTGGCAGCTGCATCGCGTTAGCCTTGAGTGGAGGGACAGACAGGGTTGTTCCTTTGGCTTTCAAAGCCACAGCTGCCAAGCAAGGCAGGCGTGCGAGGGACGCGAGGGGGTGCCTGCCTTTGTAGGAGCCGTTCACGCCCTAGCGCAGCGCCCGGGGGACCCCGGAGGTTGGCAGTAAGCTGCTTCCCGTGGGCATCGTGCCCGCTGCTGCCCGCTCACACTGACGGGGCCCCTCTCGCCCGCAGATGACCGCACGTACCACTTCCAGGCCGAGGATGAGCAGGAGTGCCAGATGTGAGTGCCGGCGGGCGGGTGAGGCGGGCCCAGCAGGGCCCGGGCCTGTCACAGCGCCCATTCCTTCCCCAGATGGATGTCTGTGCTGCAGAACAGCAAGGAGGAAGCCCTGAACAACGCGTTCAAGGGCGACGACCCCCCCGGAGAGAACAACATCGTGCAGGAGCTGACCAAGGAGATCATCGCGGAGGTGCAGAGGATGACGGGCAACGACGTGTGCTGCGACTGCGGGGCGCCAGGTGACCAGCCCCCCCTATCCCCCAGCGCTGGGAAGTCCCCGGCCCAGGCCCAGAGCCCAGCCATGGATTTTCCCTCCCGTTGCTTTTTCATTGATATTTTTAAAGAGAAAGAGGAAGGGAGAGGGGAAGAGGGACAGAAACATCAATGAGAGTCCTGGCCGGTTTGGCTCAGTGGGTAGAGCGTCAGCCTGTGGACTGAAGGGTCCCGGGTTCAATTCCGGTCAAGGGCACAGGCCCAGGTTGCGGGCTCATGCAGGAGGCAAGCAGTCGGTGTGTTTCTCTCATATGATGTTTCTCTCTGTCTTTCCTTCTCTCTCCCACTCTCTCTAAAAATCAGTGGAAAGATATCCTTAGGGGAGATTTAAAAAAAGAAAGAAAGAAACATCAGTGAGAGGAATATCGTCGATCAGCTGCCCCCTGCACGCCCCACCCTGGGGATGGAGCCCCCAACCTGGGCTTGTGCCTTGACAGGGAATCGAACCGACGACCTCGTGGTTCCTGGGTCGATGCTCAGCGGCTGAGCCACCCCGGATGGGCTCCCTTCCATTTCAGAAAGGCCCTGCAGCTGGGTGGGAGCTCGGAGGCACGCCCAGGCTGCCAGCGCCGTGTGCCGGCCACATGAAGGGGGGCGGGGGGTGTTTGCCAGGCGGCTCTCAGACAGGATCAGGTGCAGGGGGCCCCATACAGCTGAGAAGATTTCCGTGCTTTTTGAGAAAACGGGAGCTCAGAGGGACGGTCAGAGCAAGGTCATGGCCCTGGCAGTGACTGCGGGGCTTCCCGGGGATTGGCCCCGTCCGCCCTCCGTGGGACCGTCTCAGCGACTTCGAGCCGCTGTCTGGCCTGTGACCTGCCGGCCACCCGCCCTGTCGGAGGCCAGTGTTGCCTGCGGGCCTGGGGCTGCCCTCGGTCTCTGAGACGCAGTGTGTGTGTGCGTCTCGGTGAAGCCTGTAGGGGCTCCTTCCTAGTGGACAAGCACGTCACCGTAGGCTTCAGCCAGAGCGTTGGAAAGGTTTGCGAGCCGACTCGTTCTTCTCAGGAAGACGGGGCGCTGGGGGTCAGGGGAGCACAGAGCGGCCTGTTCTGAGTGAGAGACCGAGGCGTGGCAAGAGCGGGCCATCCCCTTTTCCCGCTAATTCTGTGACCGTTTTTGTAAAAACCAACAACAAAAATAGAGTGCAGAGCAGACGGGCGCCGGGAGGCTCCTGGTGCCGGAGGCTGTCTTTGGGGACCATGTGAGGCATGACCTCGTGGGGTCCTGGGCCCATGTACAGCTCTCCTTGGCGGCATCTGGGGTCTTACCTGAAAGGGAGTGGAGGGAAGTGGATGGTGCTTTTTCTTGAGGAAAGAGAAGGGCAGAGCTTGGGCTAGGAAACGCGGTAAACAAGCCACGCCTCGCGCGCTCTTGTTCTAAACGCTGAGACAGTGTGGCTGGTGTAGAACCTGAGCTGGTCAGCCTGCAGGTGCGCGCTCTTGTTCTAAACGCTGAGACAGTGTGGCTGGTGTAGAACCTGAGCTGGTCAGCCTGCAGGTGCGCGCTCCCAGGGGCACGTGCAGTCATAGAGAGGAGGCCCAGGGAGGAGAGCGCCAGGCGCCCCGCGGCATCCCCTGGCGTGAAGGAAATGTCTCATAACTGGAGCTTTTTCAAACCGGCTCCACGGTTACCAGGGACCACGGCTGTGCTGTGCACCCACTGTGTGCTTCTCAGGGCAACTCGAGGTTCCAGAGAGCTGTACTGCTGGGCCCAGGGAGTTTTACTCTGAGTCCCCCCTTTCAGTGAGTCCAGCGTCCTTTGTCAGGCCTTTCTCCAGCACCTACTGTGGGCCACACACAGTGTAGGACTCTCCGGGGTGTCAGTCCCCCAGCGGAGGAGCACAGGTGCGAGTCCAGCGCAGGGCGGGCAGCCGTCTGTCTGGCTCTGTGCCCACCTGCAGCCCCAAGCGAGGCCCTTCTGGGCAGCGTGCGGGCACCCGCCCTGCTCCCTCCGTGGCTCTGTGTGCGCACAGGGAGGGGGTATAGGAAAGGCACTGGCATTGCTCCAAGTGTGAGCTCTGATGGCTACCAGAGTGCTGTGCGCAGAGCGTGGCATCAGCACGCAGTGTGTCCTCTCGTGATTATCAGCACCTGTGAACACACAGGCACGTGTGACCTCCGTCAGCTCCCCTGTGGTAGTTAGACTTCGGGTGGCGTGACCAGGTCGGTGATGGGCGCAGCCAGGAGAGGGCGCTGTGTCCTGTCCCTCGTTGACCCGTCGCCTGATGAATGGCAGGACGGGAGGTGGGGGTTAGGAGAGGGAGAGGACAGACGGGTGCCTCTGTGTGTTGAGTGTAAGTGGGAGGGGTTTTGGTGGAATGCGGGCCTGGCTGCATCAAGGGTCAAGAACATGCTGGTGCTCCAAACTCCATGTGCGGTGACTGCGAGGGAGGGTCCTGGCCCTGGGCCCTCTGCTTCCCGCCGGCTCCAAGCGCCCTGTTCCCTTCGCAGACCCCACGTGGCTCTCCACCAACCTGGGCATCCTGACCTGCATCGAGTGCTCGGGCATCCACCGCGAGCTGGGCGTGCACTACTCCCGGATGCAGTCCCTCACCCTGGACGTCCTGGGCACGTCCGAGCTGCTGGTAACGTCCACCGCCGTGACCTGGGGGTGGGCATGGACGGTGTTGGAAGCTAGCTGTGTATTCAGGCATTCAAACCCACTTTGGTTTCTTTTATTTTTTTTTAAATATATTTTTATTGGTTTCAGAGAGGAAGGGAGAGGGAGAGAATCATGGATCGGCTGCCTCCTGCACGCCCCACGCTGGGGATGGAGCCCGCAAGCCAGGTATGTGCCCTGACTGGGAATTGAACCGTGACCTCCTGGTTCATAGGTCGATGCTCACCCACTGAGCCACACTGGCCGGGCTGTTTTCTTTTTTTAAGATACTACATTTTTATTTGAATTGGAATTTTAAGATAATTTGCCAGGGGGCGGGGAGGGGGGGGTCTTTATTTAAAATGTATATTGTTGAAAGTATTGGCCCTAACCAGTTTGGCTCAGTGGATAGAGCGTCAGCCTTCAGACTGAAAGGTCCCAGGTTCGATTCCAGTCAGGGGCATGTACCTTGGCTGCGGGCACATCCCCAGTAGGTGGTGTGCAGGAGGCAGCTGATGGATGTTTCTCATCCATGTTTCTAACTCTCTGTCCCTCTCCCTTCCTCTCTGTAAAAAAGTAAAAAAAGATATATTTTAAAAAAAGAAAGTATTACAGATGTCCCCCCTTTTTTTATCCCATTGATCCCCCCCCCCCCCCGCCCCTCCCAGCCTTCACCACAGTACTGTCTGTGTCCCTGGGCTCTGCACGTATGCGTACAAGTTCCCTGCTTAAGCTCTCCCACCCCTGCTTTCTCTCTGAAACGCGTCAGCCTGCCCCATGCTTCGCTGTCTCTGGATCTGTTTTGTTCGTCGGTTTATTGTACCCATTGGGTCTGATTTCCTCGGGGCCGGGGGCTGTTGAGGTTTGCAGATGGACTTGGGCAATCACAGACTCATTGGCGACCCCTCCTTCCCAGCCACCAGCAGCTGAGGGCGCTCTTGTTACACGACTTCCTTCTTCGTGAAGGAAGTGAAGTGACGCTCTGAGAGGAGCGGGGACGGGGTGAGACGCTGGAAGAGGCCGGGGCTCGCCCGGCTCACCCCATTCATTACGCAGGCAGAGCCGGAGCCCGGGGCGGTCAAGGCCCCCCGCCCCCTGAGTCACGGCCAGTCCTGCCAGGCTGCGGTCACTGCCTGGCTCAGCCTCTGTAGGCTTTTCCCTCCCTTTACCGTCTCCTCTGGGGGAGAGTGCTCTTTGCTCTCATTCCGTTGCTTCTGGAAAAGTCTTTCCCTCTCGGTCCCGTGATAACGCGGACACAGGCCCATGTCGGGGCCGAGGCGTTTTCTGTGCGTAGCGTTCAGGGTCCTGAGGAGCAGGGCACGCACGCCCGGGAGGCACATGGGCCCCCGCACACGTGAGCACGTGTGGGCCGGTGTCGGCGTCCGCGGCTGCTGGCCGGGCACCAGTGTTTGGGTTTTTCCTTGGGGAGCTGGGTGCCGGGCAGTAAGGAGAAGTGGGTATTGATTGCCATTGATTTAGTGTCAAGAGCAATAGTCCTGACAGAAGATCCATCCCTGTGGTCAGTAGACCCTCAAGGGGCCAAGCATCTTACTGACGAGCCCTCAGGGGCCAGCGGGTCTGAACTTGTAATGCACGTGAATCGCCTTGTCGGCTCCTCCCGGGCTCCAAAGACTCCTTCCTGGTCCTGCAAGACCACGTGGGGAGACCCTAGAGTGGCCTCCAGTCAGTGACACCCCCCATGTCAGTGACACCCCCCTGTCAGTGACATCTCTGATTACTTCAAGTTTGAAACTCAGCCAGCCTGCCCTGGCCAGTTTGGCTCCGTGGATAGAGGGCCTGCAGACTGAAGGGTCCCGGGTTCGATTCTCTCTCTGTGTCCATCCCCCTCCCTTCCACTCTCTTATAGAATAATACCCCCGGGTGAGGATTAACAGAAGGAAAAAAGAAGCTAAGCTAGTCCAAGTAGTGTGTCCTCAGTCACACGCTGTGGTTACTGCTAGTGTAACGATGCATGAAACACACGTGTGCAGAGGTGTGCTCGTGTGCACGCAGGCGGGGCCCTGGGTGACGGAGGATGGCGTAGGATTGAGACTCGCACAGTATGTTCTCAAAGAAACAAAGTACTCAGTCAGCACCGGTGCCCGGCGGCAGCTGGTATGTGCCGGTCGCTGTGAAGGGCACACGAGCTGATACCCAACAGGTGCCCCTCAAAGGGCCCAGGACAAAATAGGCAATTACTTCACCACCAACCACTTCGCGCTCCCATTGCTTTAAGGAAACCAGCCCTTGCAGCTGCCTGGCCCCGCGACGTCCACACGCCCACCTGGCCATTCCTGGCTGCTGGTACGACTCGCTGGGCAGGCACCAGGCTGCAGTCAGCTCACCCACAGAGGTAACAGTTATAAGTAACTTCAGAAACACAGGTGGTAGCAACACGGAGTAAGATAACTGGGAGGTGATGAACTTTATTACTTTTTAAAATAGGATTTTTTTAAAAAAATTTTTTTATTAATTTCAGACAGGAAGGGAGAGGGCACACCCACACTGGGGACTGAGCCCGCATCCCGGGCATGTGCCCTTGACCGAGAATCGAACCCTGACCTCCTGGTTCATAGGTTGAGGTTCAACCACTGAGCCACGCTGGCCGGGCACATGATGATTTTTTTAAGTTAGGAGTTTATATCTGTGATGTTAACAATGGCTGCGTGAGCCGGTAGGAGCCTGACCCTCCCACGCCTGTGACACCTGCCTGACTGTCTCAGAACGTGACTGATCTTCACGGGACGCTGTTGCCTGCCACAGAGGAGAGATGAAAGGTCTAAAGACGGTGATTCCATCTTGCGAAGATGACACGACCTCTGACCCCTGGTCCAGGTCTCCATTTCGGTCCCCAGAGCCTCTGTCTGTATATTCTCATGGGAGCTACGAGTTTGGCCAACTCTCACCGTCACGGAGAAATCGGACAGAGCCTGCTGAGTGCAGACCTGCAGATATTTTCAAAATCTAACCGGGGGTAGTTTTCAGCGCTCCCTTTTCTTCAGGGGTTTTTCAGAAAAACCAGGGGGAAGGCCAAGTCCTGTGGGAGTTATTCCTGCCCTCTGCCTGCCCCCGACCTCTGTCTGTCTGTCTGTCTGTCGGGCCCGCTCTGCGTTCCTGCTGACCCGTGGCGGGGGGCGCTCCTCTGAGTAACCAGCTCCTCCACCCCAGCCCTCCCGGGGCTCACCTGGCCGGTGTCCGCCCTGAGCCCTGACTCCTGGGGATGGTGCCTAGAGTGCAGGACACGTGTGTCTGGGCTGCTGCCCGCCTGGCTGTGGCCCCCAAACCAGTTAGTAGAGCTGGGATGTGAACCTGAGTCCTGGCTCGCTGGCCCAAATGCAAGTGGGAGCGGTTCTGGGGGCGGGGCGTGGGTCAGGACGGAGTCCGCCCGGGCCGTTCCCACCGCTCCCGCCCCGTCGGGACTCCATCCAGGGCGCTGCAGGAGGACGCTCGCGGAGCGGGCACGCTGCCTCTCCTCTCCGGTTTTATGGGTCCCTTTGGGGTTTAGCGTTGTCTGTCTTTATGAAAAGGCAAAACACTTTATTGCTGTATTTCTTAGCGGCCCTGGGCCCGTCCTCAGCTGGCTGAGGCGTGTGTGGGGAGGGCGCCCTATGGCTGAGCGCCCTGAGCAGACGGTGTCGTTGCAGCTGGCCAAGAACATCGGGAACGCGGGCTTCAACGAGATTATGGAGAGCTGCCTTCCAGCCGGGGACCCCGTCAAGCCCAGCCCGGGCAGCGACATGTGAGTGCGGGGCTGGCCGGCCAGGGGCCCGGGTTCTGAGGGGCAGGGAGTGACACGTTTGGGGGCATCGACTGTTTCTCTCGGGAGGGGGTGGGGAACATCTGGCCCGTGAAACCCTCTGGTCTGGCCCTGCCGAGGCATTGGGGGCGCGTTGATGAAATGTTTGACCGAGTAGAGCAGCCTCGTTTTTCACTTGGTGATTTCGTTTGGCCTGCGAATGACGTCACGAAGATCCCCATGGCTCTGGGCAGAAGGCTCCCCGCCCGGCCTGAGGGACTAAGTCAGCCTACGCTGTGGGTTTCGGGGCTTTTTCTCGACACCTTCTCCTTCCGGGGTGTCCCAGTGGAAATGGGTGGCGTGGCTGTTTTTCCGAGGAAGAGGCCCCGGGAAAGCCCCATGGGCTGGGGTTCTGTGCATGTGCAGGGGGTGCGGTGAGTGTCACCCTCGCCTGGTGGTGGGTGGGTTCACACTTGCCTATCTGCCTGGGGAGTGGAGTCCCTCCAGGCTTAGGTCTCCCCTAAAGGCAGGGCAGGAGGGCCACCCTAGCGAGCACCCCTCCTGGGGGCCAGGCATCTTCAGGGGGCGGGGTGACTAGGAGAGAGGCCCTGTCAGGGCTCTGGGCAGGCAAGGCTTGGAGGCACAAGGTGGTGCGGCCAGCGGCTCCGGGGGTGGGGCACGACTTCAGGGGGAGCAGAGACGAGGCTAGTGTGCAGGGGCGCTGAGAGCGGGCGGCCCCAGGACGCCTGCGCGGGCTTGCGGCCACCTGCACCAGAGGCCGGAGGGTCGCTGCTGCTTGAACATGCTGAGGGGTCCCAGGAGCAGGTGCCACATGGGCACAGGGCACGGCTTCCTTGATTGAGCTTCTTGTAAGGCAGTGGGGACAGGCTTTTATTTATTTAATTTTTAATATTTTAATTGGTTTCAGAGGAAGGGAGAGGGGGAGAGAGATGGAAACATCAATGATGAGACTCATTGATCTGCCTCCTGCACGCCCCCTACCGGGTATCAAGCCCGCAACCCGGGCCTGTGCCCTGACCGGGAATCGAACCGGGACCTCCTGGTTCGTAGGTTGATGCTCACCCGCTGAGCCCCGCCGGCCGGGCCCGGTTGTTTGTAATTGTCACAAGTGGACGGTGTGGGCTGTGGGAACAGAGGCCTGTCGTTTACGAGGCCGGTGGCTCGCTCCCAGGAGCGCCAGGAAGGACTACATCACAGCCAAGTACATCGAGAGGAAGTATGCGCGGAGGAGGCACGCGGACGGCGCGGCCACGCTGCACAGCCTGTGCGAGGCCGTCAAGACGAGGGACATCTTCGGGCTGCTCCAGGCCTACGCCGACGGCGCGGATCTCACGGAGAGGGTCCCCCTAGCCAACGGGCATGTAAGCGCGTGGCGAGGCTGCAGGAGGGGAGCTCTCTGCGGGAGGGTGGTGGTCCGTTCCAGGGGAGCGTGAGCACCCGTGGGCACTCAGGTGCCTCGGGGCCGGGCCTCAGCGGCAGCTCCGGAGGCCATGGGGAGAGGAGAGGCCTGGTGCACCCCTGTCCCGCTCCCCAGCCCCACCCCCATTTCCCGAGGCCCTTTCCTGAGAGGGTGGGGTCTCCCTGGCAGTGTGTGTCCTATCTCCTCCCGTGGGGGCCTGGGGACACACGTTCCCCTGAAACCCCCTTTCGCCCAGAATAACGGCACTCGGGGCTGAGTGAGGAGCCAGGCCCTCGGTCCAGGGCAGCCTTCCACTCCCGCACCCCCACCCCCACCTGGAACAGCCCTCCGCCCCCCCACTCGCCAGAACTTGCTTCCAGAAGCGGCCCGGCCGGCCAGGGCAGGGTGCCCCCGGGGCGGGTGGGAAGGGAGCATGGCCGCCTCTGCTTGCCCTGCAGGAGCCGGACGAAACCGCCCTGCACCTGGCCGTCAGGTCCGTGGACCGGACCTCGCTGCACATCGTGGACTTTCTGGTCCAGAACAGGTGGGCCTGCTCGGATCGGGGGTGGTTGGTGGTGTTCTTGGGGTTCCCGAGGGAGGAGGCGGGTGTCTTGGGCCGAGAGGCTGGGATGGCCCCAGGGCTGAGCGAGGGCTGCAGGGCGGGGGGCAGGGCGGCCCTGTGGGAGCCTGGAGCGAGAGGAAGAGCCCCCTGGGGGGATCCGCAGGCTGCAGCCCTGGTGTCGGGGACCCGGGGAGACACCAGCCCCGAGAAGCAGCCTGACCGTGGCCCCCACAGTGGTCGCGCGGCTTGTCCCACGTCCGAGGCTCATGGGTGCTTTTGGGGGGAGGGGGGTTGTGTTGGGAATATTTGGAAATTCACTCACAGTCCCTGCTTCAGGCCAGGCCCGGAGGAGCCTTGGGACTCGGGCCTTTGGAAGGTGACTTTTGCCTTTTCTGCGGAAGAGTCCATGTAAGACGGGAACGCTCGCCCGTCCTTCTGTGGGACAGGATGGGCCACGGCGTGGCTTCCCGCGGCCTCGGCACTGACTGGGGAGCCAGGCGGCGGGGCTTGGTGGTGTGGGGCCCAGGAAGGCAGTGGCTCTTAGCACCTGCCCAGGCGCAGCAGCCCGGCTGCCTGGCTCCCTCGTTGCCTCTCCACCATCCCTGGTGGCCTAAGTCGGGGCACCAGCTCACAGCAGGGTGGCGCTGGCCCCCCGCCTTGCAGCCGGAGTGAGTGTCATCCTCCCCGCTCACCCTCAGTCCCCGGGGCTCACTGTTCCCTCTCTCTCCCGGTCGCCGGCCAGCGGGAACCTGGACAGACAGACGGGGAAGGGCAGCACAGCTCTGCACTACTGCTGCCTGACGGACAACGCCGAGTGCCTGAAGCTGCTGCTGCGCGGCAAGGCCTCCATCGAGATCGGTGAGCGGCCGCTGCCTCCCGCCTGCGTTCTCGCGGGGACACGGGCACAGTCGGACGACACAGCTCCCATCAGGGCTGAGGACACAAATACCGACTTCTGCGCATGGGCCACGAAGTTTCAATCGCACTGTACGTGCGCGCCCGCACGTGGTATTTTGTGGAAGAGCCACACTCAAGGGGCCAAAGAGCCGCATGTGGCTTGAGAGCCGCAGTTTGCCGACCACTGTCCTAGACTGTCCATCAGTGGCCGGCATCGCAGGGACAGTGTGGGCAGGCGACAGGCCCTGCCGCTGCCCCTGCCCCTGAGGCTGAGGCAACCTTGGCCGTGGTTTGGGGCTTCTCACCCTCCTGTTCGTAGCCCACACCTCGGGTCAGCCCAGCCCCTGCTGGCCCAGGGAGAGCAGGTACACCCGTGTCCCCACAGAGGGACCCTAACGTCCAGCCCAGGCTAGTCCAGCGGCACCTGGTAGCAGTGGGTCATCAGGAAATGCTTTTGAGGACTAGAGAAGGAAGGCACATACCTGCTTGAGAGCCAGGTTTCTTTTTCAAAATTAATCATCAAACCCGGCTGGTGTGGCTCAGTGGTTGAGTGTTGACCTATGAACCAGGAGGTCATAGTTTGATTCCCAATCAAGGGCACACGCCCGGGTTGCCGCCAGCCTGATCCCCAGTCGGGGGCGTGCAGGAGGCAGCCGATCCATGACTCTCTCTCATCATTGATGTTCCTATCTCCCTCTCCCTTCCTCTCTGAGATCGATGGAAAAATATTTTTAAAAAATTTAATCAAGCCTCGTTGGCTGAGGGTTCCTGAGGAGAAAGCCCACAATTTCCCGTTTGTGGACAGACGGCTGGGGGAGGTGGAAGTTACACCGGCTGCTGCCTCTGCCCGCAGGGCTCCGGCGGACGGTGGGGAACCGCTTCATGGGACGGAGAGTTTGCATGTTGATTTCCGTCAGTTGGCTACTTCCGTGGCTCGATGGTCGTGATCCGCGCAAACCTTGTAAAATCTCAGCGATGAGCTCCATACACTCATAAGACGAGTTCAGCCCCGGCTGGCGCACACGCGCTGCGGATTTCATCGGTCGTGCTCGATTTAACTTTGGCCGCTGCTCTGTGCCTTTTATTGTCCTCATCTCTGCTTGTTCTTGCCGCCCCGCCTTGTAGCTAACGAGTCGGGGGAGACGCCGCTGGACATCGCCAAGCGCCTGCGGCACGAGCACTGCGAGGAGCTGGTGAGTGTGCACAGAAGGGTTAAGGCACTTGCCCGAGGCCACACAGCACCTCCGTGGCTGTGGCGAGCGTGAAGCCCCACTGGCCCGAGACACCAGGTGAATGTAATGCATGACTTCTCCCTGCAGCTGGGGCTAGCTGTCTGCCTGCCTTGAGGGCACTGAGTGGCCCTGGGAAGGGCGGTCCGTCGTTTTCTCAGGGCTGAGCTCCTGTCGGTTGAGGAAAGCCGGGCTACCCCTGGGGGACACGCCCAGTTTGCTCCCTTACGCGGTGGGCTGTGTCCAGGCTGCGCGTCATTCTGCAGATCTCACGTCCCTGATCTGCGCGCAGTTCACAGGGCACCTAACGGGCTCGAGTTTCGCGTTATCTGTGAATTAGGGAGCGGGTGTAACCCGAGACCCAGAGATCTGCATAAGCTGGGGGGGCTCCCCACCTCCCTCCCTCGGGCGTGGGGGTGGATGTCCGTGTCCCGGGCTGAGTGTCTCCCGGGCTGAGCTGCGTCACCCACAGTCCTTTGCTCCCCTCAGCTGACCCAAGCCTTGTCTGGAAGGTTCAACTCCCACGTGCACGTGGAGTATGAGTGGCGGCTGCTGCCCGAGGACCTGGATGAGAGCGATGACGACGTGGACGAGAAGCTGCAGGTCCGTGCCCGCGCGTAAAACCCGAGTTCCCTGAGGAGCTTCATTCGGAGCCGCGGCTCCCGGCCTGCCGTTAGGGCGGAGAGCTGGTGTGCAGGAGGGAGAGTCGGGTTTGCTTTCCGCTTCCTGTGATCTCGGCGGGCATTGCTCTCAGCGCCCCGGTCTCCCCGCTCCTGCGCACGTTCATTAGAGGGACGAGCGCGGCAGCTGCCCGCCTTTGGATGTGGAGGGAAGACAGAGGCGGGCTTCGATCCCAGCGGGCGGGGGGGGAGAGGAACCCCCACGCCGCGGTTAATGGGACCAGGAGCCAGGTTCCCCCCGCGGCCACGGCCACCGAGTGGAGCTCTGAAACCGTCACTGAAACCGTTCAGTGGCCCCTCGCGCTCATGCGGTCAAGGCTTTCCCTGCTCAGATGGGGCCGCTGACGCTGAGAGAGAGTTGGCCACAGGGAAGCAAGTGTTTAGAGACCAGCTTAGGGCCAGCCTGCGGGCTCTTGCCTCCTAGCTCCTTCTCGTGACCCTCCCTGGGGGACCTCGGAACGTGAGGCGGGGAGGTTGTCAGGTTTGCTCGTCGTCCTGTAGGACATCCAGGTGTGTCCTGAGGACGCCCAGTTACCTACGTGGCGTTTCTGAACCGAGTGGCCCGTCCTTGTGGGCGGAGCACTTCACGTCCGTACTTGCTGATCCTTTTTTTGTTCATTCTCACCCGAGAGGATATTTTTTCCCCGTTGAGTTTTTTAGAGCGGAAGAGAGGGGGAGAGACACAGTGAGAGAAACATTGATGTGAGAGAGACACATCGATTGGTTGCCTCCTGCACGTGCCCCGACCAGGGCTGGGGATCGAGCCTGCAACCGCGGTAGATGCTCCTGATCCGAATCAAACCCTTGATCCTTCCGTCTGAGGGCTGGTGCTCTAACCACTGAGCAGCCGGCTAGGGCCTTACTGACTCTTAGAATAAGAAGTCCTTTTAGTGAGTTAGCGATAAAACAGGGTCAGACCGGTTTCCTACACTCCTGCCGTCAAACAGCAGGTTTGAAACGCCTGCCCCAGGTGAGGGCCTCTTCATCAGCCACAGCTCACCTGCCCGCCCTGTGGGCAGTGGCCCCGCCGGTGGCGTCGCCCAAGTAAAATTCCGATAGGAAGGGCCCTGGGGGCTCAGAGCCCAGACACGCGTCCACCCCCCCTTTTTCCAGCAGAGAGTGGCGGGCGCGGTCGGTTCACACGGCCGTGGGCTTTGTGGGAATTTAAAACCACTGAGCTCTGCACACCTGAGCTGGGTGTGAGCCGTGGGGTCGGCCAGCTTGTCGCCAGTAGGTGGATGCTGTGACCCGGAGGTCGTGTGTCCGCACGTCCCACACCTGCCGCCCCCCCTGCAGCCCAGTCCCAGTCGGCGGGAAGACCGGCCGGTCAGCTTCTACCAGCTGGGCTCCAGCGCCGCGTCGGTGGCCAAGGACAAGCAGAGGGGCTTCGCGCCCAGCATCGTGCAGAACGAGACGTACGGAGCTGTCCTGAGCGGCAGCCCGGCCCCCGGCCAGCCCGCGGCCCCCGGCGCCCCCCCGCTGCCCCCGCGGAACGTGGCCAAAGGTACTGAGCCCGGGAACCTGGCCGTGCGCGAAGCGTGGTTGGGGTGTGGTTGGGAGGCTAGTCGCTGCTCGGCCCCCCCCAGGGGACGTCGGGCCCCGTCGGGGTGGGCTGCTCCCCTGGGGCCTTTCGTGTGTCGTTCGGGGGTTTGCTTCCTAAGGAAACGCCGTCTCGAGTCCGTAGGTGCCGCACACGGTGGAGCGTCTTGACCTGGTCCTTGTTCTGGGCACAGGTGTGGCATCCGTGGGTCGCGGGGGTCCAGGTTCCCCCCGAGGGGGGCTGAGCGGTGGGCCAGCTCGGGGCGCTGCTCGGCAGGCGGTCACCTGCAGCCCTTCCTTCTGGCCCTTTCCCTTCGCTCCCGCCCTCAGTCCTTCCTCTTCCTCTGCCTCCGTTCTCCTCTGGCCCCCCCCCTCCCCCCCCCCCGCCACCTCTGCCTGGGTGTGGCCAGCGTGTGGCACCTGCAACTATTCCTTATCTCTACGATCCCCAGGACATGAAGCGTAAAAAAGAGGCTAACTTGGGAACAATCGTAAATTAGTAAAAATCATAAAAACAAAATAGTCCCTGTGGTCCCGCCAGCACCTGACGTGCCAAAGCTCGCCACACCCACGTGCTCACCTTTGCAACGTGGCGAGTGTGGCTCAACGGGCGCTGTTTTGTTTTAGGGGGAGCAGTGGGAAATGGAGCCCTCCAAAGTTAAGTAAATTTCCCGGCACAAAGCCCAGCTGGCCATGCTGCTCTTAAAGGCGGGTCCGTGGCCAGCGGTCTTGGGGGGCTCTCCAGGGAGGGGCAGGATTTGGGGGCTCCCCAGGGAGGGGCAGGAGCCTTGGGGCGTCGTGTCCGGCTCTGTGGCTGCCCTGGGCGCGGCGGTCACAGAAAGCCCCAGATTCGTGTGTGCTCACTGCTCCCTGGGAGGGGCGTGCGGTGGAGGTGGCGGCCTGGGCCGAGGAGGGGCTGGCAGGGCCTTCACCAGGGTCTGTGCTCCCGTGCAACTGGGCCACCTCCCCTGCTGCCTGGGGTCTCAGACTGCCCTCTCCCCCCCCCACACACACACACACAGTGCAGGGGGGCCCAGAGGAGGCTGCTGAGCTTGTCCAGGTCACTGAGTCAGACCCTCCGGGGAAGACCCACCAGGCGGAGACCAGCCCGCGCCCGGCAGGCCCCCGAAACAGCCGCTCCCTCCCTGGCAGAGCCCCCCGTGCCCGCACCCAGGCAGGGTCCTCCCCACGCTCGACGGGAGATTGTCCCACAGCTGCCTCGTCCCTTCCCCCCCCCCCCCCCGTCACCCTCCCCGTTGCTGGGGGGGCCGGGGCAGCTGAGCGCAGCCTGGGTTGGGTCCCTGGGGGTGTCTCGCCGGCCTCCTCCTCCCACGGGGGCACCTGCGTTAAACTGTCATCTCGCCCCTTGTTGGCTTCCCCGAGGCGTGCGTCATGCGGGGAAGACGGCATTCGCTCTGCTAATCGCTCTGCGGGCTGGAGAAAGGGGTGGACAGCTGTCGTCTTTCTCTCTCCCGTGTTTTCCTGACGTCTCAGAATGAGGCTTGGGGGTTTTCTTCCCTTCGTGTGTGTGATTCTGGTGGCTGCTTCATTTCTTCTCTGATGATTGCACCTCACTGCTACTGGCCCCCAGGGGTCTCCCCGCTCTCCCTCTGGTCCACGCCGGGCCCACGTGGAGGCCGCCTCCAACACGGGGAAGGGTCGGTGTGCCCGCCCCGCCAGGCCTTGTCCACATCGTTCTGTCTGAGAATTAGAATCTGTAGATCGCCCGCCAGCTGGGCGTTCCCGCTGCGTCCCCATCGCGTGTGGCCGTGGCTGTCTCGGGCCGGAGGAGTGTTTACAAACCAGCCCTCCTGCTCCCCCAGACGGTCCCGCTGACCATGGGGCGAGGGAGCGGGTCAATAATGCCGTGTTCTGTTTCTGTTTTTGTCGTGTGTGTGCGCCTGTGTGACGCGTGTTGCGCGTGTGGTGTGCAGCCCAGGCCGCCTCCGCTAACGCCCTGTGGAAGACAAACTCTGTGGGTGTGGACGGTGTCAGCCGGCAGCGGTCCTCGTCCGATCCGCCCGCTGTCCACCCGCCGCTGCCCCCTCTCCGCGTGACGTCGACCAGTACGTTCTCCTTTCTCCTTCCTGCCGGGGCTTGGCGGTCCGCTGGCCGGGTGGGGAGGGCGCAGCGGGACGGTGTCTCTTCATGTCCCCCAGCCCCGCGGCCTCCTCCTCCCCAGCTGTAACCCCCACATATGTCAGCCCCCACCCAGGGCTCACCCACCAGCTCCTCTGTCCCCCCCACCCCCCAGCATCTCGGCCGCATCCTCCTCCCCCACATTGGCCTAGGGCAGTGGTCGGCAAACTGCGGCTCGCGAGCCACATGTGGCTCTTTGGCTCCTTGAGTGTGGCTCTTCCACAAAATACCACCTGCGGGCGCACACGTACAGTGCGATTGAAACTTCGTGGCCCAAGCGCAGAAGTCGGTATTTTGTGGAAGAGCCACTCTCAGGGGGCCCAAGAGCCGCATGTGGCTCGCGAGCCGCAGTTTGCCGACCACTGGCCTAGGGCTTCATTCCTTTGGCCGTTTGGCCAGTCTCGGTATTGGGCACCATCATTTGGGTTCTGGTGTGTTTCTCCTCCATGTCAGCACGTGGGTGACCGTCCCAGAACCAGGGGAGGAGCCGGGAGAGGGTTTACTCCAGCAGCAAAGCAGGAGGTCTCCTGGGTCAGGGCGGCCGGCCCGGGCTCGGCTCTGGCCGTGGGAGCGGGGCTCGGCCCCTGGTTTGCTCTCGGGGCCTTGGGAGCCTCCCCGGTCTCCCTGGGATGGGCCTCGGTTACGATGGACGCCCACCAGCCACAGGCAGGGCCTAGGGGTGTGGCTGCCGGCCGAGCAGGGCTGCCTGGGAGGGTCTCCCAGAACCTGGGGGGGGGGGGCGGGGAAGGGGTGTCCAGCTCAGACATACTTGACTCACATGCCAGGGGGTGCTGGCAGGTCTGGGGGCACCGGGAGCTTCCGGGAGCCTATGGTCTGCCTGGGTCTGGGTCCCTGGGGCTCTGGGCTGACGCTAGAGTCTGCCTTTGACTTTCCCTTTGAAGCAAAGGAACCAGGAAGGAACAGTAAGTACAGTAGAGGCAGACTGTCAGCCGACTCCTCCTGCATCACCGGGCCTCGCCCTCCGCAGTCCTGGGAGGGGGGCGCTGGCTCCTCAGGCAGCGGCCTCCCGGGCAGGGGTCCCGGGCGAGAGTGCGGGACCCTCAGGGAGGGCGCTGCTGACGTCCCAGAGGCCAGGCGGTGGGGGGCAGGGGCTCCAGGCCCACCCCCGTGCTACCCCTCAGTGACCCTGGGAGAACGCATGCCCTGCCCGGGAAGCGGCCTCCTTGTCTGTAAAGCGTAGAGGCTGAGCCTCGTCCTGCCCCTCGCATCTGGGCAGCCGGCACAGGGAGCTCCTCACCACCTCCACTGGGACTGACCTGCCCGCAGCCTGGGCAGCGGCTCGGCCCTGGGTCTGGAGGCGGACGGAGGAATGACCCCGGACGGCCTGGCTCCCCGGGGGCAGGACGTGGCCAGAGGCCGGCCCGGGCCTCAGCCTCGGCCTCCACGGCCGCCGTCCCCCCAGGTCACACACCACATCCTGGATCCCGGCTTCTCCCCGGGAATTCCCTCGGAGAAACATGGGCTCATAGAGACGTTTGAACCCTAAGTCGCGGCTTGGGAGGACTCCCCGCGATGCTGTGAATGGAGACTCTGCAGTGAACACGGGCTTTTCTCTGCGAAATAGCGACGCAGCGCTGATGGGAGAGGCCCGCGGGAAGGCCGGGCGGGATGCTGGACGTGACCCTCTGTGTCTCCCCGTCCCCTCCTCTCTCCGCAGACCCCCTGGCTCCCACGCCGCCCGCTCCCGCAGCAAAGATGCCCGGTGCCCTGGAAGCCCTGAGCCAGCAGAGCAAGCTGACCCCGCCGGGCAAGCCCACAGCCCCGCCCCTGCCGCAGCCGCAGCCGCCCAGCCGCCTCCCGCAGAGGAGGCCTGCTCCGGGGTACGCTCCCTTCCCGTCCCCTCGGGCTGGCCACCTGGCCCGGCCTCGCTTCTTGCATTCCGAGGGCCTCCAGTGGCCGCAGCGCTTTTCTGCGGAGATTTCCGTGCAGGCGTGAAACCCCGTGTGTCTGCTGCTGTGACCTGGGAGGTGATGTGACTCGGGCCGGTCCCACCAGGTTTCAGGTGTCTTGAACATGATTTATCCAGGGTTTTTAAACTGTAAGAACTTCACACAGATGTCTGTCTTCCGTCCACATGACGAATGTAGGTTTCTCTGCAGCACAGACGGTGGGGTTTGGGGAATCAGGTCCTCACAACACACGGCCTCTGGGTTCTGTTTGTGCTCAGGCGCAAGGTTACAGAGAGGAACTCACCGGCGGGATCATCGTGGGAGGCCTCTGCGCTCCGCTCCGCTGGTCCTGGGGCGGGCTGACAGCAGGGACCCCGGCCAGGGCTGTGGGCTGGAATACTTACACGCATGTACGCGGCCTCCCAGTGCCTGGCCCTGGGAACGGCAGGGCCTCCCTTCTGCCGGGTGTGGCTGGCCACTCAGTGGCAGAGCTGGGCTCAGTCGGGAGCGGGGTGATCAGAATCCAGCTCCCCATGAAGAACGGGGGGGCAGTGCTCTAACAGTACCCCAGGGTTCACTCCCATGTCCTCCCTTTCTGGACTCGGTATTCCCTCTCTCTGTAACGAGAGGTCTGGCTGGCGTGTCCACTCTCTTGATCAGTATTAGTGCCACCTCCTCCTGCTGAGATCGGGGCCCCGTGTGGCCGGCGTCGGGACCCCGCGGGACTCCCACTCCCCCACCAGGGTGTCCCCTGTGCCTGTGCCCCGCCAGGAGGACACCTTCCCCGCTCACCCTGCACCCCAGGGTGTGTCTGTTGGCATGCGTGCCACCAGGTGGGTGTGGCACACAAACCATAGCCTTTAGTTCTGAGAAAGTTCGTTGATTATTTTTAATGCCTTCTGTTTTTTTCTGTTCTCAGTTCTAATTTATTGATTTTGGAGACAGAGAGGAACATTAGTTTGTTGTTTCACTTATTTGTGCATTTATTGGTTGCTTCTGGTATGTGCCCTGCCCAGAGATTGAACCTGCAACCTTGGCCTATGGCAGTGGTCGGCAAACTGCGGCTCAGCAAACCGCGGCTCTCGAGCCACATGAGGCTCTCTAGCCCCTTGAGTGTGGCTCTTCCACAAAATACCGACTTCTGCGCATGGGCCACGAAGTTTCAATCGCACTGTACGTGTGCGCCCGCACGTGGTATTTTGTGGAAGAGCCACACTCAAGGGGCCAAAGAGCCGCATGTGGCTCACGAGCCGCGGTTTGCTGACCACGGGCCTATGGGGACAGTGCTCCAGCCACTGAGCCCCCCCCCCCTCCCGGCCGGACTCTGGTCTCAGCTTTCTAGTGATTTGTATCTTCAGATGTCAGGCCCCCGGCCTTTCCTCTCTCTCTGTGGGTCCGCCAGCTGCTCTAGCACCCGCCCCTGCCTCTCGGCGGTTGAACATGTGAGAGTTCACTTCTTGCCCAGACAATGTTGGGTCCACGTTCTTGCGTGTACAGCAGTGTCTGGGGGGGGAGTTGGAGACCCAGGCCCAGCCCACCTCTGCCTGCGCCATCTTCACCCCCGGGGCCCAGGTTACTTCTGAGGGAAAGAGACAGGCAGGTGTGCTAACCTCCTTGGCTGGGGTGATGCGCAAGCTCCTTTGACCAGCGCTGGTCCTGTGGCCCCACCTGGAGGCCGGGGCTGGAAGTGCAGCTCTGTCTGCGCCCTTCTGGTTTCCTGGAGGGGGCATTGGCCCCTCTCCCGAGGCCGGGGGCTCAGGCACACATGGCCGGGCCGGCCGGCGTTCCCTGACTGCAGGCCTTCTCCTTCCTCGGAGCCAGGCTGCTGGTGTTCCTCCCTCCACCCTCAGCTTCCAGGACTGTTCCTCTTCCTTTCTCTTTGTTAGTTTTGGTTTAATTTTTTTTTTTTTTTTTAATTCTGTTCCTTGGGAGAAGGTGGAAGTAAATGTATTCACCAGAACGCTCTCGGGGCCTTTCAATGCTGCGTCCTTTGCCGGCTCTGTCTGCGAGAGAACCGCGGGGCCTTGCCTTCCTGTTCTTAGAAACAGGCAGGAGGCCTGGTCGGGGACCGAGTTGTCTCCTGGCGGGAGGACGTGCTCATAGACCCCCGAGAGGCCGCGGGCTGGCTTCTGCGTCAGACCCAGTGCCTGCTCCCGCAGCCCCTGCCTGTGGGTCCCAGCCCCGCCGTGTGCCCGGCCCGGGTGGGCACAGTGAGGCTCACAGGCAGCCTGATGGCGCTCCTCTCCCGGCTCAGCCCAGACGCTGTCACGCGACCTTATTCTGAGGGTTGGCAGAACTGGGGGCACACCTTTTCAGATGAAAGTGCCAGCCCAGAGAGACCGTTTATCCAGAACAGACTCCTGTCTGCGGCCCTGAGAACCGTTCCCCTACCTGTGGCCTTGGGCACTGATGGGCCCTGACCGGGAATCGAACTGTGACCTTCTGGTTCATAGGTTGACACTCAACCACTGAGCCACGCCAGCTGTAGTTAAAAGACAATTTATTGGATCAGCTCACCCAGTGCACGTGGAGCGCAGATGGTGCCGATGAGGCGGGTGGGGTGAGGTGGCGGGAAGGTGCATGCCCCAGGCCTCAGGTGTCAGCCCATCTGTTTCCCTTCTTTGTAGGACTGACAAGTCGACCCCACTGATCAGCAAAGGCCAGCCTCGAGGCCCTGGTAACGCTTTCATTTGGGGCTGGGCTTTCCTTCCGCTTGGTGAGTGGGGGTGGGGGCAGGGTCCGGGGTGGCAGCCCTGTGTGACGACCCGGCTGCCCCACCAGCTGCCCCACCAGCTGCCCCCCTGCCCCCAGCTGCCCCCCTGACCCCCGTGGAGCCTCTGATGCTCCCCGTCCTGGGTCCTGCGGCTGCTGGGGGTGGGAGGGCCAAGAGCCCCCCCGTCTGTCCCTCTGTGACACCCGCACACCTACTGAGGGTGCGTGGAGGTCACAGGCTGGTTGGCGTGGGGGACTTTTCCCTCAACAGATGAGAACGTTTCGGGAACCCTGCCTTCAGGCCCGACACCGGCTTTCGCAGTGTGTCTGTCCGGTGGTTGGGGCGGTAGCACACTGCGAGCTGACGCGTTCTGTCCTACAGCAGCGGACATCTCCGGAACAGAAGCTCTGGGTCCTCTGTCCAACACCCCAGCCCTGCAGCCCCCCGCGCCCATGCCCAGGAAGTCACAGGCGGTAAGCGGTCAGCCCGCCTGCCCGGCCAGAGGGGTGCGGGCTGTGCCCCGAGGGCTCGGAGGAAGGTCTTCCCTGGCTGGGGGATGGGCGGCTTCTTCCTGGGTACCCGGTCTTTGGATCTGGACAGGACGCAACCCAGAGCTCGCAGGCCGGGGGGGGCTCAGCCCTCTCCTGATGCTCCAGGACACCCCACGCACATTAGCCCTGGCTGCCACGCTCCCGGCTCTCCAAGTGCCCTGGCCCCTGAGCTCCCGTGAGCCGCCCATCTTTTTTAAAATGTTTTTATTGATTTCAGAGAGAGAGAGAGGACAGAAACATCAATGATGAGAGAGAATCATTGATGGGCTGCCTCCTGCATCCCGGGCACATGCCCCGACCGGGAATCGAGCTGTGACCTCCTGGTTCATGGGTCGATGCTCTACCATTGAACCACACTGGCCGGGCTGAGCCACCCCATCCTGACAAACCTGTGGCTCCCAGGTCTCTGCCCAGGAGCTGGTGCCGCCTGCTGACTGACCTCTGACCCCTCCCCTTCTGCACCCAGGCCAAGCTGAAGCCCAAGCGGGTGAAAGCCCTCTACAACTGCGTGGCCGACAACCCAGACGAGCTGACGTTCTCCGAGGGGGACGTGATCATCGTGGACGGGGAAGAGGACCAAGAGTGGTGGGTGAGTCGGGGCCTGGGCCCGGGAGGGCGGGGTGAATCCCTGCCCACCTGGCCGAGGTCTGCCACGTGAGGCCCTCCGTGCCCGCGTGTCCTCAGGCCTGCGGGCCCCTGGGGAAATGCAGAAAGGTGTGAAGACAGCAAGTGCACCTTGATCTCAGCCCCGCCCCAGAAAACATTCTGATTTTCTTTTTGACTTTTATTTACCTGCATAATTCACATCGTTGAGGTCAGACGTGATGTGTAACTTATGTGACTTACCCAAAGCAAGAAGGAATGGATTTATTGGTCTTCGTGAATGCATGGCTACGTTCAAACAGGGCCAGTTCACATACTCCTGACACTCGATTTCTTCATCCATTAAAGGGGAAAAAATGGCAAGCCTGTCACCCCCAAGACCCCCAGGACACAGTGGTGAGGGCTCCGCGGACAGAGCCCTCTAAGGGAGAGCCTTGCGGAAAGTGGGCCAGGCTCTGCGAGGGAAAGCCGTTTAGGTGTCTTACCCAAGTGATTCCTTCTCAGCAGAGGTTCTTCTGAACAATATTTTCTTCTCCAGATGGTGCAGTGCCCTTCCGAGTTCCCAGCAGCTGGGAGTTTTGTAACCACCCAAACGTTTGTTCTTTCAGATCGGCCACCTCGATGGAGACCCCAGCCGCAAAGGAGCATTTCCCGTGTCTTTTGTGCACTTTATTGTGGACTGAATCGCTACTGAACAAGCACCCTTAGCAGTGACGTTCCTGCTCGTTATTGGTACCCACGCTCTTGCCAGAAACCAGTTTCAGGAACTGTAGGCCCACTTGCTCGAATGCCACTCACCGTTGTGTTTCTAAAACTCACAGGCAATTTCTATCTACAAATGGATCGTTTTTTATAATTTGTGATTTTCATGAAACATGGCTCTACTTTTATTAGGAAAAACTGAATTGCCTAAAAGGTGAGCTAAAAAGCTATTTTAACTACACAGTCAAGATCCCGAAACGACAGAATTAGCGGAACCCGATTCGAGGACCGGAAATTCTGCCTGCTCTCCTTGGCCCGATGACGACGTCGGCGCTCGCCAGCTGCTTGTTGTTTAGGCGGCTACGTGCTGTCAGTTCCCCTTTAGAGACCTTTTAAAAACGCCTTCTTAAGATTTCCCTTGAAAGCCACCCAGTGTTCAGTTAAAGCCACTTGGGAATGGACACTAGCATTGTACACTCCAACCCTGATGTGTGAGGGTGCGGCGCTCCTTGTGTTCTGCATGTGTGTGTCACCTGTTGTGAACAGTCCATCCTCCCTAACAAAACTGCCAATAGCTGATCGTGGCGCACGACATAACAGTTCATTCGGTTCCAGGGTGGGTGACACTGCGTTTCCTGAGTTCGGTTAAAAACTGGCGACGATGGATTGCTAAAGGGTTCTCCCCACTCGCTTGGATGCTCTAGGTGCTTCGGAAACGGCCTTCCTGAGCTCCCCCCATCGCACAGGTAGCCCGCGTGCGGCCCCGCTGTTGCCACCCGCTCGTTTCCCAGTGTGCCCGCCTTCTCTTCTCGCCTGAGAACACCCCAGTCTAGTGTCTGGTATTTATATCCTACACCAATAGGTTGGTGGTTACACTGTCTTGACATTTAATCTTCCTTCATTGGTAGCCAAGCGCATATCAGAAACCTGTAGGCCCCGGGAATGAAACACACCCGGACATCCCAGTTTCACTCTAAGCGTCATATCGTTCTTACACTTAAACTACTGGGGCTAGGGGGTTAGGTTGTATGTGATCAAATCAATTCATTAGTTTGATGAACTCGACTGTCATACCTCTACCTAGTCATTGAGCGTGTTCACGGGAGGATGTGGGAAACGCCGGCTCTGTGAGGAGAAACGGGCGGAAGCGCCCGCCTGGCTTTTACCGCCAGCCCAGGCCTGAGCCGCAGCGCAGGCTCGGAGAGGAGAGCGAGGCGGCGGCGCCTTGGAGCGGAGCAGCCCGCGTCACGCGGGTCCTTGTAAGTGTAGGATGTTGGCTTTTGTTTGTGATTGTGTTGTTTTTCGTTGCTATTCTAAAGGAAGACAGAACTGGAATGTTTTATGATGTTGTAGCCCATTGCTCTTTGCCTGTCACAGTTCCAGGTAAAGTGTGTTAGCTGTATGATTAGTCTTATTTTTAAAGCACTACATCTCTTTTTACTGGTTGTTAGCTTCTGCTGTTTGAACCCTCCATTTGGTTAACTTTCTCGCAGGTTTCAGGAAGCGAACGGATGTGTGTTTTGCACCACGCACTTACTTTAACACAGTCCCCCCACATCTGCCTCGTACAGTCCGCCTGTGACTCCTCGGTGCCGCTATGTGAGAATTACCACTCCCAATCTAATGTCCCAGGCTCGCTGGGACAGACATCCAGGAAATACTTCCCAGGCTAGTTTGGTGGTGCTGTTGTGCATAACGGATAGGACTCTTGTCAGGAGAAATCATCAACTTCCCTGCTGATAGGCTTTCCTACTTACTTGCTCTCTGCAAATAAATTTAAAAAGTGAGAGGAAGGAAAGCGTTGTAGATATCTATTTATATTCCAGGTTTATGTTTCACGAACTTCGCTACGGGATCCTGGCATTGTGTGTGCCCCTGGTCAGGTCTGACTGCAGGCATGAGGACTGGGAAACGGGCAGACCCGTGTGCTCTGCTGAGGGCGGGCACTGCCACATGCAGCTGGAAATGCTCGGAGATGTATGATACTCGATTCATCCACTTGATTCCTTTGGTCTAGTTGCAGCGCAACTGTACATATTGTATAACCTAAATCCTTATTTTCATTGTCCTCGATGCGGTGATTTATACCTAGAGCATGTTAATAAGTCTACTCTTCTTGGTGACTAGTCATTTGACTAGAAAAAATAAAATACTTTTAAATGGACATGGGCTTGAGATTTGTTTTTAACCCTTCAAGTTCTGTGTGTGGAAAACAGCCTTTCACTAACTAGCCCGCTGTACGTGAGCGTCTTTAATCTCTATTTTAACACGTGCGGTTCTGTCCACTCAGGTAAAGGTGGAGGCTGACTGGCATGTCATCCCGACGACAGACTTTTAAAGTTTTACCTCTTGTGTCGAGTGGGCAGCGGCGCGTCCCCAGGCCAGAGCGCTGAGTCAGAAAGACCACGGTCCTGGGGAGGCCAGAGCAGCGGCCTCGGGCTCCCTCTGCAGGTTCTCGACCTTTATTGCTCACTGAGCACACCTCCCGGACCCTTAAGGGGTTAAGCTCATTTGTGTTTAAAAGCAACAAATGGGGTTTCTTTCTTAGTCCCAATCGTAACTTGGCTGAGTTATCTCACTGTTAATAAGACACATTTTAATAGAAAAACAGAACATCTAGAACAAGGGTCACTTCATACGTCCATGCTAGTTCAGCGCTGCAGATTGAAAACCAGTTCAGAAAATAGCCGATCTTCCTCCCGCGACGCCGATCCACTCGGCAGACTCACGCCTTCTCGGCCATCAGCACGGAGTCGAAAGCGGTGGACAGGACCTTGCAGATGGCCTGTGCTTGTTCCTACGGTGAGCGAAAGGCACAGGAAGGACGTTCACAATCTGCCCCTGAACTCCAACTGACCAGCACAGGTATGAACCTGCCCCTTACGCTTCTCACCCCACGCGTGACATTGCCGGCTGGGACCACTGCCAGCCAGGAAGGCCACACCAGGAAAAGCAGGGCCCTGCCCCAGAGGACCCCCTCCCCCATCTGCTGTGTGTGCACCCTGAACCTCTGACCCGCACACGGTCGCCCGCAGGAGGCCCGGACAGCGGGCTGACGGCCACGTGTGCACGTATGCCGGGGTCAGACATGTGGAGAGCGTCTCGCAGCCTCTGGTTTTTCGACTCTGTCTGGCGAGAGAGAACCACGGAGACTGAGCCTCACCAGGCTACTGCACTGGTACACCCACAGGCTGACCTCCTCGTTGCTGGCATCCGTGGTCTTCAGCGCCAGCAGGCTCTTCCCCGCCCCCAGGCCGTCGTCGTAGCACACCATCCGGATGATCAGGTAGAGGGCGTGCCTGTGCAGCACGTCCTGCAGCGGGAGGAGAGAGACCGTGATGGCGTGCGCATCTCCATCACTAAGGACACCCTTTCCCCTGCACAGGTTTTCTGTGAGGCTTGGAAACACAAGATCAGGTTTTCCGCCCAAAGGGCGTCCCAATTGCTCAGCCTCGGGGTTACCCCTGGCTCCTTAGACTCCAGAAAGACAGGAGTCAGGCGACCCAAGTTCACCACTCAGTCCTCCCCGCCCAGCCCCCAGCTGGTGGCCCTCCTGAACTGGCAGGGGATGGGGTTCCAAGTGAACAGGCCTGTGGGCAGCAGAGATGCTGGCCTGGACCCCACCACACAGGAGCGCCAAAGGGAAGCTCCCTCCACCCACCCTAAGAAACGGGCGGCTTTTCGGACCAGAGGCCAGGCACGTGCCAAACCCCCGGCTCTGCAGACAGGAGCAGGCCAGCGGCCAGTGGCCCTGACCCCCCCCCCCCCCCCCCGCCCCCACGCCCCAGACATCCTTCCTGATCACTTACATACTGATCGGGTGTGGATACTTTGATGCCGTACTTGGAAACGCCCATAATCACTTCTTCCTCCAGGGGAACGAAAGGCAGCTTCCCATCTTGCTGTAGGTAAAAGCAGGGACGGGCGCACACTCAGAACCGTGACCGTAAACCCGCTTTAGGGCCTGGCTCACAGACCCCACGCTCTTTAAAGAGCGCAGCGCACACAGCGGCGCAGCCAGAACGTCTCTCCAAAGAGGCAGAACCCCCCCCCCCCTTTTTTACAGCCAACAAATGTGAGCAAAATTCAGACCCTGCACCCCAGGGCCTTTTCTCTGCCCGCGGGGTTAAGCCTCACTGCAGCCTCCGACCCCCTCCGATCCGGGTGCGGGCTAGTGGCTCACTTAGAAGAAATAGTTCATACTCATGTCAGCACGCGGTCAGGGAACACACGCAGGAACCATCTTTCCCAGCGCGTGATAGCGCACCCAGGGGTCGGCTCTGCCCGCTCCCCACGCCCCAGGGTTTGGGTGAGGAAACAGTGCTTGATGGACAGTTGCTCGCCCTCCAGCCCATCCATTAGCAGCGTGAGCTCTCTCCGACTGACCGGTTCTCTCCGACACGAGAATGCGGCCTCACTTGTCTTCTCTAACATCAGGTCCCGTTGGCATCGGTAGATGCTCCGACTCTAAGTGTTTCAGGGACCTTTTGCCTACATCGAAGCCACTGTGGTAAAGGAGCAATGCCCACTTGCCTCAGTTCTGGGGTGCTCACAATGCTGCGGGGACACCCCCCCCCCCATCATTTCTCACAGTTTAAGGCAGTTCCAGGAATGGAAGGACGGGATAACAGTAATGCTACTGCCAGTGACTGGGACAAGCCCATTTCTCCGGTGACAGGAGTGAGCAGTCCGTCGGAAGGAAAAGAAGCCTAGTGTGGTCTGGGGAAACATGAGCAATCTCCCAGCGTCACAGTGAGGTTAGTTTGCACGTTGTAGGAACCACTATATCCCAAACTAAACCTGGGGCACTAACCGTGCGAGCCCCGACTGCCAAAGGCTCTCTGTCTGTGACATGGCAGGTTCGAACGGCGATTTCCTCACCGATGAGACTCCTGAGGACATGAAACAATGACCCCTTGGCCACGGCTTCGGAGAACAGCGGTTCTCAGGCACCAGCACTGTGGCCTGATAGGGAGCCTTCCCTGCCCGATACCCCCGTTAGGGAGCAGACACGCACTCCCCCTTCCACCTCCTGGGCCTCAATTCCTACGGAAACGGCAGGAATAAGTGGGTGCACTAGGTCGCCGCTGAAGATATCGAGGAGCTAACCGAGTCGGCGAGATGCAGGAAGGCGCAGGCGGCGTCACAGACAAGCCTGTGGCATGTCATCCGCCGCGGCTCCGTGCCTCACTGAAACGAGGTGCGTCGGCCGCAGAAAAAGTGAAAAGTCCTGTTTGTGGGCAGGAACGGCTGTTCCCAGGCGCCCATGGTCCAGGACCCCTGTGCCTCCGTCACCCACATTGTAACTGTGAGGTAGCCAGGCTTGGGACAAGCCATGTGTTTCTCCGAAGCCAGAGTTTACGCTCTAGAATCTGATAAACTGGACCATTTTTGTCTTTACCTGGGCAACGTCTATATAATTTATCAGGTCCAGTGGCCCTTCCAGACGTTTTCCTTCAGAGAGTTTCAGTTTCTCAATGGCACCGACGTATCTTATTCGGAATTCCGCACAGGTGTCTGAGTTGTTGTTGCTTTGTCCTAAAGGTAAGCGAAAATTCAGCGTAAGACTTTCCTATCCCCAATCCCTGCCCAAATAAGAAACGGACTAACAAAAATAAATTTCCTGACGTACAGTTTTTTTACAGAATGGGAAAGAACTTAAAATCTCACTAACCTCTTCCTCAGTTACAATATTGCTAAATATGAAAATCTAAATAGGAGTAAATTAATATCTTTCATTTCAAACAAACAAGAAAGGTGTCAACTAGATAATGATGAGTCCCTTTCTGATGCACAATGACACAATTACTTTCTGGCTGCTTCTCCCTCTTTACCATGTTAATGATGAACTTGCTTTTCTGATTCAGGAAACCTGATCTATGTCTGCCACTGAACCAGAAAAGGCAATTTGTTTTTAATGCAGAAGGAATAATGCTGGACAGGAAGTCCCTTAACCGACGGTAAAGGATGAAGAAGTGTGCGAGCTATAAAACATAGTCAATACAAAATCACCAAAATGTGTGTGCTGCTGCCACAGTAAGGAAATAAATACTGTGTGATGACTTGGAGGCGATGTGCATGTAAGAACGATGCCCAGCCACATTTCTAATATTTTAAAGGCAGCTGGAAGGTAACAGACCTTGTGCTTCTGCCGTATATTCTATTTTACATCCTCTGTTTCTTCCTCCCCGCTCCCAACTTTTACAGATGAACCAGTCTATGGTCCTGAAAGGAACAGTGGGAGTTTAGACAGATCAACGTGTATTTCTAAGTAGATACTGGCTGTTGGTAGTTAGAAGCCGTCTTTTAATTTCTAAAGAGCTGCTCATTGCGGTGCCTGCATACATGTCTTCAAGTGTCTGAGAGATGCTACACTTAATCACATGTGCTCCTGGGGCTTACAAGCTGGCGTCTTCTGGGCAAACGGCTCCTTAATCCTTCTCGTCAGCAGGGCATTTGTCCTAAACCCATAAACAATGGAATCCATGTGCTGCCGCCCCATTTCTTAGAAAGCGATGGTGAAACTTCCCAACGGTCACCGCCATGTGCTCCGCAGGCTTTGCCCTAGGACCGTTAAGAGCAGTTTGGCACCTGCCCCGGCCAACGGCTTTCACTAACCACCTCACACCCCCCCCAACCCTCATTCCACCAGGCCTTGGGCCGTTTCTAAACTCTGGTCAAAAATGGCAGAGGAGAGAAAGAAACCCAAACACACCAGAACTCGTGCCACCGGGTGAAACGGTGTGAGCATCAGAGGACGCGTGACCCCGCCCTTCCTGTACCTGAGCTCCTGGTGGAGTCCGTGTCCAGGCTGGCCACCGTGCTGGACCGAGAAAGGCCCCCAAGGCTGGAGTCCACAGACTGAGAAATTAGAAGCAAACCGGCATTTAATCATAGTTAGAGGCCCTGTCTTCTCTCAAGTTCTCTACCGAACACTCAGACTATGTGCCACAGCTGAATGGATACATACCCCCAGCTGCCCTCCCGTAACAGTCCCAATGCGCTGACCCCACGGCCGACCTCAATCAGAGCCAGTGCCTCTGCCTCCTTACAGACACCTGACACTTATCTCGTATGTGAAAATCTACACCTGGCTTCCCCTTATCTCCGCTGGCCCCGCGGAGCACCCTGTGCGGAAGGCAGGCGGGCGCTCCCTGTTGAAGAAGTGAGCAGCGACCGGAGAGGTGCAGCGGTTTACCCAGGGTCACGCCTCGACGATACCCCAGACCTCCCATCCCAGCAGGGCTCCTGGGCCCCACCCCAGCGCTCCCGGAAAATGCCAGCCTGCACCAGTCCACACGCAGGCTGGCAGGCCAGAACACCAATGTGAGCTGCAAAGGAACCCCAGCAACACTGCCAAGCAAAATACAAAGCAGCATACGCGTTAGTGCGGAACTACAGCTACACGTGCACACCACGACCCCTACGATTCAAGGAGGGCAGCCCCCTTAATTGCATGCAATTTCTATCACATTAAAAAAAAATTTTAAAAGCGGTATTTGTTTCTACAAGATCATTTACAGGTCCTGTCCCACCTTGGTTAGTGGATTTAGGGATTTCAGAAAGTCTACCGAGACCAAATGAAATCAAGCACAGAATGTGTCTCTACTGGAAAAAAAAAAAAAAAAAGTGAATGTTAAAACACCCCTAGTTCGAAGGCTACGCGCGCAGGCCTGCCAGGTTAGCATCCTCCATGCACCTCAGCAGAGACCGAATCTGCAGCGCCGGCCCCTACCTTGCTCTTAGTACTGATCTCGCTACTTTGGGAGCTGCTACTACTGTGCCGCTTTTTGCCTTTCCGAAACATTGTCACTACAGCGTGGTCCAGGCGCTCCCCTAGGAAAACAAACGTCCCGTTATACCAAGAAGAGCAGCTTTAAACCACTTCATGCAGAACAGGCGTAAACACTATCCCTTCCCCTCACTGGGAAATGTTGGCGCTCACAATGTGGGTGCTATCCTTATTTCCACTGTTTCTTTTTAAATTCTAAAAACCTAACCCCAAAGGGGCAGACACCTTGTCATCCCTGCAGGTGTCGTCCCTACAGGCACTGTTTTCAGAAGCAACGGACAGATGCCATTTAACTCTCAAAACACTTGAGCGCCTCGCTTCTCGTTCATCAATTCCAGACACGGCGACGCGGGGCGCGTCCTGCAAACGGCAGGGCGGGGCCCAGGAGCCAGTGCGGGTGCCCATCCAGGCGGCGGGGTGCAGCCCCTTTAAACGCGGCCCCAGGACCTGGGACCGCCAGGCCCGGCTCCGAGCTCCCCGGCCCCCAGCCGCCTCCCGCGCGGGGGCGCAGGACGACAGACGGCGAACAAGGCCGGCGCCTCCCCGGGCCTGAGCGGCAGAGACCCCGACGGGCGCCAGCGCGGAAAGCGGGTGCGCCTCGGCCCCGCAAAGCAGAGCCGGACACGGAGGGCGGCCCCGCGCCCCTCCCGCGCGCCCCTCCCACGCGCGCCACCGTGGCCACCGGAGCTGCCGTCCCCGCCCAGACAAGAATGGGTCACCCCGGGCACCGCATCCTCCCGCAGGCCCCGGCCCGCTCCCCGGCTCCGCCGCCCGTCACGCGCCGCCTCGGGGCCTGAATTCCCGACCAGGGAGGGCGGGTCCCCGTAGACACCGCGGCCTCACCCATCCGCCCCGCCGCCGGCCCCCCTCGGGGCTCGCGGTCCCGGCCGGGCTCCGCCCAGGCGCGTCGAGGGCCGGGCCCTCACCTCACAGCCGCTGGCCCATCCCTGGGGTCGTCTGCGGTCGGACACCCACCGCCTCGCCGCCCGCGCGGGGGCAGCCGCTCCCGCTCCCGATTCCAGCGCCAGCTTTTCCGGTCCCCTGGCCCCGCCCACCAGGCCCGCCTCCGAGACCTCGCGCAGGCGCACTCCTGGCCCCGCCCCAGGTCTCTGGACTCCGAGTGGGGAGGAACCTCGCGAGGCGGGATCTCCGGCCGGAAGTTGAGGGGAGGAGCCTAGCACCGCGGGCGCCGGAGCGCCGGAAGTTGTGCTCTCCGTGGTTGGGGTTCTTCCTACCTTGGTTCCCGTAGCTCCGCTTCCGATGTAGAAAGGCTGTTCCCCAGCTCAGCGTCGCCGTCGGACTTGCGCGATGTCTGCGATCCCCGCGGAGGAGAGCGACCAGCTGCTGATCCGGCCCCTGTAAGGGACCAGCGAGAGGCGGGAGGGTAACGGGATGGCTGGCCGCCTCCGTCCCCCCACTCGAGCTGGCGGCGGCGGCTGCTGGAGGGGCTGGGGGAACTGTAGGTCGGGAGGGGCCTGCTGGCTGGAATGGGATCGTGCTTTTCTCCCATCTTAGGGGGGAGTGTTGGAACTGGGGGTCGGGGGTGGCCTATCGGGGCGCTGGGCGCTGTCATACACGCGGGGAGGTGGCAGCCCCTGAGGGACTGGTGCTGCCGCCGCCGGCGGGCCGAGGTGGGGACCGGGTAGGGCTGTGGCGGTGCGAGGCGGAGCGCAGTCTGCTTAGGACCTCCAGGACTTGACATTTGCCAAACGCGAGAGAGGGGGATGATTCGGGATTTGGTCTGCGTCCCGCGCGGAGCTCAGACCCCCGGGGGTGAGGGGGTGGAGAGCGGAGAGGAGGAGAAGCGGGGTGCGGGGACAGAACCCCGCCCCGGGTGTACCTGAGCGGCCGGTCTTCTGTGCAGAAGCGCTGGACGGACCTGGAGCGCTGCTTGGAGAGGGAGGCGGGATGCGGAGAGCTTACGCTGCAGGGGGGCAGTTTGAATCCGCAGATATGTGTCCTGTTAGCTATTAGCACTACTGGGGTGCATGCATTTTTTCAAAAGGCTGAAAGTATCTACTTAACATGTATCCACACGGACTTGTTGAGCGCCTCGTGGGAAAATAATACAAGTCTCACCCACTCGGGCACACCTGCCAGCTCCTCGTGTGCCCACTGCCAGCTGCCAGGCACCCCACTGGGCACTGGGGTACAGATAAGCGAGCGGGCCAAGGTCCCCGAAGTCACCCTTTTGGAGGGAATTGCAGCGCGAAATAGAAAAGTACCGGCGAGCTGGTTTGGGACCACGGGAGACGGTGACTCTGCAGTCAGCCCTGAAACCCGACCCTGTTGCTTCCTGGGCGGAGTAACTGTCACTGAGTGCATGGTCACTGTTGTCATAACTACAGCAGGCATGGCAGCCGAGCGCCATGGAGCATGGGAAGGGGGAGAGGGTGCTTTCTCAGCATCCTGGGAGAGGCGCGAGCTGAGCCTTAAAGAAGGAGTAGGGATTGCAGGCAGGTAAAGGGTGCTCCAGCCGCAGGAAGTGGCACGGGGGGAAATGAGAGTGGTCGCAGTTTGGGGCCACTTTCCTCCTGGCCACGGATGGAAGATTAGCGGATGAGACGGGCGAGGCTAGCATGGCCCATCTTATGAAGGGTCTTGTACTCCTTCTAAGGAGTTTGGCCTTTATCATCAGGTACAGGGATTTTAAGCAGGGTGGGGATCCGGTGGGAATGAGGTTTGGGGAAGGTTGAAGACTGCTGCTGGCAGCCGTGTAGCAGATACATAACAGGATGGGGTAAGTGGCGGGAATCTAGGTTGAAATCCACGTAACCCACGTGGTAGGCAGTAAGAGCTTGGAATGAGATGAGCAGCAGACATTGGAGAGAAATAGGTTTGAGAGAGTAAGGAAGTGGGACCTGTAGTTCTGTATAACGATGAGATGTGGGGAAGGAAGGGAGCTAAGAGGAGTGTTAGGATGACGCAGATTCCTAGTTGGAGGGCTGCAAAACGGCCAAGGAGTATGGGCGGCGGCGGGGGGGCGGGGGCTGGAGTAAGTTTCGGGGTTTTGTTCTATAACAGCATCAAATATACTGAAATAAGGTGAAAGGAAGGGGCCTGAGGTTCACAGGTGTAAGAAGTTATGTCAGTTTAACCTCGTTGGTAAATGCATATCATGATCTTCAGTGAAAGAATGTTGCAGTGCTTCCAGGTTTATACTTAAGTGCTGATTCTAAAAGTATTATTAAATGATCTGTGTTCCTGCTAGCTGCATTCTCAGTGCATCATCATAACCCTCACATTCAGGGGTGAACTTTAGCCTTTGGGCTTCTCGAGTCTGTTCCACCTTCTCACAATTTTAACAGCTGCGCAGTCCCTGCGCTCCCAGAGGCCGCTCCTCTCTCCCCGCTCTCCCCGCTCTCCCGCACCCGGCGCTGTCCTTGCCTACCCTTATGACTTTGTGGGACTCTCACCTGCCTCAGTGAGATGTCATCAGGTGGGCACAGTGTAAGTTTAAAAAAGTTGAAATTCGTTGGGCTTGATTTTGATTGTTTTTATTTCTCCTCTTGAATGTTTACAGGGGAGCTGGCCAAGAAGTAGGACGATCATGTATTATTCTGGAGTTCAAAGGAAGAAAAATAATGGTAATTATTATTCTGTGGTCTGGTGAACAACATGGCTCTGTCCAACTTGGATGTTAGGGCTTTTCTAGTACAGCAGTTACCTGTTTAGCTCCCAGGAAAATTTCTTAGTTGGTATATGTAGTCTGTGCTATAAAATGTTAATGCAAAAAACTAACACAAGTTAGTAATTTGACAAAACATTACGTAAACTGAGAAGACATATTCTACGACATAAAATTGTCCACCAGATCTCCTGAACTATTGCTTACAAAGTCCCTCTTCCACTCTCCGAGGGTCTAGCCATCCTAACCGCCCCACCCCGGGTGGAAGACCCCGGGACACGCACAGAGCTCCAGCCACACCTGTGCACTGTGGCGCCAGAGCCTGGTTTGGCAGCTTCTATGCCCACATTAGCATTAAGGCCACGCGCCTTGGGCAGGGCAGCCTGCTTCTCTAAGCCCATCTCCTTATCTGGAAGGTAGTGGGGTTCGAAGAAATGGTTGCCGTGGTCCTCATTCGAAAGGCCGTTCCATGGCTCATGTTCCTTCAGTTCCACTTCTCTGCCTCTCCCAGTCCTAAAAGACTGGGGACCTGTCACACATAGTCGTCTTTTTAGTCATTTATTGTGTTAATTTTGTAGAAATTGATAGAATTTGGTAGAAACAGCCCCAAAGTGAGTATATAACTCATTAATGACCGACTCTTAATAAGTTGTTCCCAGAGACCTTAACATACTTATATTGCACTGATTGGGAAAGGTTCCCATTTCTAATAATTGACCTGGAGATCAATAAGGTCTGGTAGTAAATCTATAAACTTTTAAAATGCCCACCATCTTCTGACATCAAAGTTCTTGAGAAAAAGAGTTTATTCACTGTTAGAGTGACTATAAAAACTAGTTGGGAAGAGGATGTCTTGTGTTTTTTGTCCTGTGACCCTAAATGTGAGCTATATTTTAGATTTAATGGGAAGTTAGAACTTTTAGTAGTAGCATATTTCCCATTTTCTGTATATATATAAAACCTTCAGCAACTGGTTGACCGTTTGACTGGTCGCTATGATGCGCACTGACCACCAGGGGGCAGACGCTCAACACAGGACTGACGGGTGCCAGATGCCAGCGCTTCTGCTGCAGCAGCGCGAGCCTCTCCCGCCTCTGGGGCAGTGCTACCGAGCTGCAGAGGCAGGTGCTGCAGGCCCCAAGCTCGGGGCCCCTCCCCAGCCGCCTGCCGCTTCGTGCACTACCACATCCCTCGGGCTGTCGGACTGCCGGTTTCCCAGATTGCAGTTGCGAGAGGGCGCAGGCCAGGCTGAGGGACCCCACTGGTGCACAAATCTGTGCTCCGGGCCTCTAGGATTTAATAGGAATTATCTTCCCAAATGCTATATGCAAATGCTATATGTAGAGTCCATTTTGGTTATGAGTGTGACGGATCAGTTGTCTATTCAACGGATGAATTTTAATAAAACGCAGAGGACATTATGATCTTTTTGTCTGTCTCTTTCAGTTGGACTGTGGGATCCACCCTGGCCTGGAAGGAATGGACGCTCTTCCTTATATCGACTTAATTGACCCGGCTGAGATTGACCTCCTGCTCATTAGTCAGTAAGTTTTTCCTTATTAATGACACTGTTTTCCTAGACATTTACTATAAAAGTCATGCTTTACCAGACGCTAAGATTCTGACGTTTAAGAGTCTTTTCTACCAGGAAGCATGTTGCAGACGTCTGAGTGTCAGACAGCACTCTGCTGTCACCGCGGCTTAGGGAAGTTCCTGGGAGGCTGTCCTCCCGCTGGAGCAGTGAGGAAGAGAGCGTGCGCCTTGCATCGCGGTACAACTGGAGGCCAGGAGAGCCCTCCCCGGCCTCCTGAGGTCACGGTCTGAACTTCATTCACAAACAGCGACGTGTGGGCACTGTGCCCTGCGGTGCTTGTTACGTCGGCTGCCGGCAGGAGGTCTGGGTGTATTCTTCCGTCTCTCATTGTCACTGATCAAGTATTTTGATGTTTGAAAATACATTTAGTATCTTTTTCTGACACAGGACTAGCTGCATTATTTCTCCCTCCCCGTGGTGCCCTAAAGTGTCAGTGTGTGACTGTTAACATGAACTTCTCTGTGAGTCCGCAGCAGTTTCATTCGTGTATGTGATGGGTAATATTTTAAGAAGTGACAGGATCTCTTTCATTCTTCAGCTTCCATTTGGATCACTGTGGCGCTCTGCCCTGGTTTCTACAGAAGACGAGTTTCAAAGGAAGGACGTTCATGACTCACGCTACTAAAGCTATCTACAGGTGGCTCCTTTCAGATTACGTCAAAGTCAGGTAAATGGCTCTGTTAGACTCTATAACATGTGGCTCAAGGTATGGACCATTTTGGTTTTTGAAACGAGACACTTTTTATTCACCAGGATGTTGTTAATTTAGTCATTCAGAAACAACCCGTCAGATCCCATTGAGTACCCAGCACTTCTGGCCTTAAA